TTTTCCAGACGTGTCAGTGAGTTTATTAGGAAGTGGCGATCAGTGAAATCTCGTATTTTGTATAAATAGGGAGAAACATGTTACCTAACGAAACCAGATCTCCTAAGATGGTCACTTTTCTAAACACTTTTCTTCGTGCGTTCTTACTGATTGGCGTTAAGTTTATCTACGAGTATACTAATAAGTTTCTCTTAATCTGAGCTTAATATTTTTTATGAGGTTTTTCTTTTAAAAAACTCACCTATGTAAAAACCGGTCAGGTACGAGTCGAAAAAAAAGTTGAAAATTAAGGTAAATTTTGGTACTTACAAAACTTAACAATCGAAATTTGCCCATATCATTTCATCGTGTTGACTCAGGACCTTGATTTTTATACACCTAATAGGGACCATAGACCTCAGTATCTGGTAAAAATTTCAACTTGCTAGGTCTATCCGTTCCTGAGAAAATCGGTGGTGACCTTTTTTACCGTTTGAGATACGGAACCCTAAAAACTTAAAATGCTAAACCTTATCTGAGTTTGTCTAGAAATGTCAATAACAACAAAAAGTATTTATGCCCCTAAACTTTTCCTGCCTTTCATCACTTAAAACATCACCCCCTTTTTATTTAATATCGAAATCTACACGGTTAAATAATCATAAATTACTAGGAAACTTAAAAATTGGTAACGTAACTAAAAGGCAGTGTCTGCCAAGTTTTTATTCACGGTATCGCGTTACTCGCTTTATAATAACCGTTTGACCGACATTTCCTTTAACCGTAATATTAACAAATAAACCGAATGAACACCTCTAAGAATTGTTGCTCTGTATTGAATATGATACAATACGTTTTATTCAATGTCTTTATCATCATTTCGTGTGAACATTTGTTTCTTTGTACGATAATGACCTGACAGATCTCACACATGGTCGTCTGATCCCAATTTAAGGAGAGCCTGTACGTACCATAGTAATCATATTGCTGATAATATTTCCATATACCCAAATACAGAAAGATTAACATAATAATTTGTCCTGGATAAGAATAAAAACCCCAAGACCTTGGCGTTATTGTCACGTATGGGTCATTAACCACTCCCGAACACGGGACGAACAAACCTGGACGGTGTGTCATCATTTCCATCAGGTCATTGTTGTTTATTAATCCTATATAACTTGTTTATACATTACATTATCTTTAACCAAGTCGAAACGACATCCTGCCGTCTTTAAAACGACAAATCATTTCTATTCTTTTTAATATGATGGAAAAAATAAACAACATATCCTTTATTGCACGCCACTAAAAGGTTACAGTTGAAATTACACTTTATATTTGTAATTATATATTATAATTTCGCCTATTTATCAACGTAATCGAGTCTAGTCCAGACCTCTTAGATCTTCTATCTTATGAGCAAAAGAAATTTCCGTTTGTTTTCTATTTTCATTGTCAAAATACTAATTTATTTATTCCTAACTATACAAATTTCTTTTGATTTTAAACGTCAATCACCTTTTATTCCTCACGTCCGGTAGTATACAAATGATGTTTAACTTCCGCGATATTTTCTACTTAATTTCCTCCAGGCATTCAAAGAAAAATCATTATTTACTATCTTCTAAGAACACACCTCTGGTTAGTGCTGCGTTTATCGGTTGCTCGTCGTCATTTCTAACTTGAGTATTATGTTCGATAATTCGCTTAACTTCAACAATGCTCGCATAGTTAGTCCAGCAAACTGATCTGATCTATATTAACAGTAAAATTTTAAGCACTTACTTTGAATTTTATAGTTTACTTTGGCTATTCAGGTACTCATTAAGAGGTGAGGTATGTATTAATAACAGCAAATGTTCCATTATAGCTACAATTCTTTGACATACTCCGACTATTTTTGTCCGTTACGACATATTTATAAAGAGCACTGTCCACGGAGACCAATAATAGATTACGTCGAGAAATCTAACAATATAAAGTGTAACTTCATTTATTCCTTGTGTTATCTTAAAGTAAAGGAACCACATCAGGCGTCGGGTTACATTGGCCATAGTTTTAATTGGAACGGTACTAAATTTAGAAAATTGACTTTTTAGTGTTGCCATGCTCTTGTTTTGACTCACCGGCCGCCCGGGAGTGTTCTAACCTATAAATGATTGCTGTATAAATATGCCGCGAATGCTTTCTTATGTTGTGTGGTGCTTTAAAGTTAACATGTTATTATTTTGTTTACGAGGGTATTATTTTGTTTATTTTTTAAGGTTTTATCATATTTTGTTAAATTATTTCCATTTATACATACAACAGGTTACAATACACACTGAACATATTTTTAAATTAGACTTAAAGCATCACCCGTTCTTTCAAATCGTAATTTTATCAGATTAGTATAAAAATTGGCGATTATATTACCTAAATATACCTAAATGTAACACAATTTGCATAATCATGAAATACGCAGCAAAAGCAATGTTCACGTAAAACCATAGGTGGTTTCTTGAAATGGCGCCAAAAATACACAGTAAACAAACATTTTCTTCATGGTCGGCGTCATAATTATGGATTAGGTGCTTTGGTCATCATGACTCCTATTTTTTCATCCGCTGTTTCTTTCGTTTCCAAAGTAACTTCCATTCCTTTTTCGATTCTAGTTCCAGTTTGTTCCAATTGTATATCATACTCGACCGAAGACATGACAAAATAGTTAGAAAACTAACGTAAATACCACACGTCTCCAACAATAAGAGTTATTCAAAATGGTCATGGAATTAGTAATTGTTTTGTGAGGAACGGGTGTCATGTCCCTCCAACACAAAGGCAGGATCCTCCTACCAGGCGAGATGATCATGCCTGGCGGGCCGCGGCCCAACGCTTGATGCTGGGAAGTTGTATATATGCTAATCGGCGAGAGAAATCTTCATATCGCGATACAGGATTAGCAATTCTCATTTAGTAATTACTCCGTAGTTCGGTGTGTCTTCGTTAGGTGACGCTGTAGTATGTTTCTGTTTCTTTGTATGTGGGAGTCGCCACAGATACTGTCATAGGATTTTCTAGCCTAATTTATTAAGACGAAAACACCATTACTATTTTCTTTCACTTGTTGCACTATAATATACAATAAACAAAGCTTAAGACAGGCACTATTACTACTTTAAAGGGGCCTGTTGGTCTAGTGGTTAGTGACCCTGACTGCTAAGCCGGAGGTCGTGGGTTCGATTCCCACCCAGGACAAATATTGTGTGATGAGCACGGTCATTTGTTCTGTGTCTGGGTGTAATTTATCTATAATATGTATGTATTTAAAAAATATATAAGTATGTTTATCAGCAGTCTGGTTACCATAGCAGAGGCTCTGCCTAGTTTGGGATCAGACAGCCGTGTGTGAGATGTGTGAAGTTATTATTATATTATATCTCCTGAAACTCCTTTGCAACGAAGACTAAAAGACAACTGATTCCAATCGTTAATCATTCTCAGGTGATGCATTCCTTGCCCACTTGTACACCTACACCTGTCATAATTATGTCATATCCATACTAATATTGCTCGCATAAATGCGAAAAACGTGTCTGTCTGTTACCTCTATACGCCTTAACCGCTGCACTGATTTAGATGAAATTTGGCATAGATATAGTCCCAAGAAAGGACATAGGATAGTTTTTATCTCAGAAATCATCCTGTGAAAAGGGGGCTACAAGTTTGTATGGAAAATCAATTACAACCTACCGCTGAAACGATTTAGATGAAATTTAGTATGGAGTTAGTTTGATTTTTGAGGAAGGAGATACACGCAGGCGGAGCCGCAGGCAAACGCTAGTCTGATATATTGCACATGAATCAAAGTATTATTTACAGCTTTGCCCAGGATAGACTTAATGAGTTGAAGTGTCTCGTGTCATTTGTGCATTTTTGTTTGATTTATGTACATTTTATGTTTAATTTGTTGTAGGTGTTGCTATGCATAATATGTATGTATTTACAAAAAAGTATATGTATATTTATATCAGTTGTCTAGCACCCATAGTACAAGCTCTGCTTAGTTTGGAACTAGATGGCGTTGTGCGAATGTGGTAGAAAAATAATTGAAATCGTCTTTTATGTAGACTCAACACACAATAGCAACAATATCTCGGGCAAATATTTGCAAAATAAATATAATAAAATTATGCCCATCAAAAAATTTATTAAGTCGGACTTTACAGCTAGAAGCCTTCTAACTGTAAAGACCGAAAGATTTACTTGCAGAAATAAATATCATTCATACCTGTGCCGATCTACAACCTACACCAACAACTATTATTATTATTGTTTAGCCTATCGCTAACCCTCCATGGGAATGGAATCATTTAAAGACGGACAAAGGAAGTAGGTAAGTTAAGAGAAGGAAAGTGGTTATGATGAGGGAGCTAGGAACCTCGCACTGAGACTACCGTAGCTCAAAGACACCGTCTTGTGATCGCAGACATCAGTAGGACATGGTCTTTTTTTAATTGGTCTTTAAAACAATTTTAAAACAGACCGAGAATACAAAAAGAGTATCTTGCTTTAGCTTGTATTAGCTGTATTGTTACTCTTTCACGCAAAAACAGCTACACGGATCTGGATTTTTTTCATTAAAGGCTGGAATAGCACAAAAGCTTTTATTCCGAAAACATTAAGTGTTCCCGTCGGATGAGCAAGGTGCAGCTACAACCGCAGGGCGCAGTTAGTATATAATAATAGTAGTCTCTTTTAGCACACTGACACATTGTTTTTGACGTCGAAATCATCGTAGGTGTAAGATAGAGACGCAGGGATATGTTTGTATGCAGAATCATACTTTTATGAATCAATGTTAACGAAAATTACAATTTGAATAATACATTTACGTATAAATAACATAAATTGTATTAAAAGCGCTCAGTCAAAAGAAAGCAGTCGAGACGTTTTGACGTGTTTTTAACGCTGTGAGAGTGACTTTGGACTTTTTGTTTTAGTTTTATTTTTGTGTAAGAGTGATTATTGAAGTCAAGATGCGTATTATGGCTCCTGTGTCTTTTGGTACGTTAATTATTTAATGTGTTGTAATTGAGTAATGGATGTAGATGTTTATTAAATCTAACATTCGAAAGTTTTAATTGGTTAACGCGTTTGCGAGTTTTTATTACGACGACAAGTGAAGAAAAATACAGCTACTTCTTGTTTGCTAGACGGATTAGCTTATTTAATCAAAAACAACATATAAAAACCCAATATTAGATATCTTTATTTATCTAATTTGTCCATTTCATGACAACATAATCACATAAGAATAAGAATATACTACTATATAGAATCAGTTCATAAAAAGGAAGGTGTTCTGAATTCGTAATTTTATGTTTGTGACAGATGGTGACGGATTTAGAATACGAACTGTCACCATTCCCTTACTCATCCCGTGGGTGTCGTAAGACACGACTAACAACAAGGCCAGCGTGGTATAGTAGGCCAAAACCTCCTTTCTAAGGAGAGGCCTATGTCCAGCAGTGGACTGTTAAAGGCTGTACACGATGAAAACATACGCATATATGTTCTTTTTTCCCGCAGAGGACGTCGCTCCAATGTCTCATGCTTGCTTTTGGAAAGGCAACCATCAACCCGACCCATTACTCCCAGACTTACAACGTTATGTAAAAATTTAACAAACATCTGTAAAGAAGTCAAACTGTCAAACGAAACATTACATTTATATATCTTTACTAATATAATAAAGCTGAAGAGTTTGTTTGTTTTTTTGATAATCTCGGGAACTACTGGTTCGAATTGAAAATAATTTTAACAAAAAAAAAACCGACTTCAAAAAACACTATTCCATTTTATCAAATATCAAAAGCGTGTGGTGACGGATTAAGAATACAGAGTGTCACCACCCCTATTCATTACGTGGGCTTCGTAAGAGGCGACTAAGGAAGCAAACTACGCAGAACAACAGCACTGCAGAGAAGGAAAACTTGACACAAACCCTATACCAACGCATCTGGCCAGCGTGGGACTAGTAAAAGCTGTTGATAACAATAATTACTTGACCATAACGACGTTACTGTAGGTGACTCAAATATCCGGATAGCCTATAAAAGTTTCAGCCGGGTATCGTTAATTTGCTCCTAAGAATTGAAGAGTTCCATTACTTTGTCATGGATCCCATGATCAGAATGTAACCAAACTCGCATCAAAGTACTCTTAAAGTACATCCATTCCAATAAAATAAGAATAATCGAAATCGGTTGGCGTGATATTCGGTTATTCGTCTGTTTGTCGTGAACACACTGAGTGCAAATTAAGAACTTATATAGTTTTCTCATGGATGCCATTATCAAAACTAAACCAAATTGAAATGGGACCACACGGGAAGCACCAGCTTTCAAATAAAAAAATAAGTATCAAAATCGGTTCACCTAGTCAAAAGTTCTGAGGTAACGAACATTAAAAAAAAATACAGTCGAATTGAGAACCTCCTCCTTTTTTTGAAGTCGGTTAAAAATAATTTAGGACAACCGATAGGAGCGTCACTGGAAAATGTTGCAAATGTGAGGAATATGTATTCTTTTTGAAAGAAACAGACGTACGAGCCAGCTAGTGTATTGATATAAATAAAGTGTTGTGTGTAATCGATTAGTCGAAAGAAACTATCATTTCGCTTCAACTATCAATCTATACAAATAAATAAAATTGGAGTGTCTGTTTGTAATATTAAAATAACCGTTTTTTACTAAATGCATATGTATGTTTACACGGTACATATGCCAAAATAACATAATATAATATTGTACCACATTCACACAACGCCATCTAGTCCCAAACTAAGCAGAGCTTGTACTTGCTTGTACATTTTTTACAATTTTTGTCTGTCTGCTTGTTTGTGCCGGGTAATCTCTGGAACGGCTGGACCGATTTCAACGGGACTTTCACTGGCAGATAGCTGATGACATAAGGAGTAACTTAGGCTACTTTTTTTAGACTAGCTTCGCCCCGCGGCGTTGCCCGCGTTTATAACAACAAACGCGGGTAACACCGCGGGTCTCAGCTAGTAATAAATATATTTGTAAAAATGAAATGTTCAAATTCCGTTCCGAATTACGATACACTGCACGTCTAATGGGCTATGTGTGGGCATCATAGTAAAGAAAGTGGACATGTAACTAAAATGAAAACTAATTTCCACGGTGCTGTAGTTACTGTGGCTGTTACTGTGGGGCTTGTCATTTAGGTATATGTACATATATGTACATATAAATATGCTGTCAATCAAGTACGCTTTCGCGTTTTATATTTAAGTCATTAAAATACTTTTTAATAGTTTGCCACTTTCCTGTTGTAATCAAAAGTTGTCTGTTCAATGTTATTGTGATGAAAACAATATGGAGATTTATTCAGTTCGAACTCTCCTCAAAACGCACATTTTACTCAATGTTCTTCACGAGTAGTAAGTTGCAAGAGCCTTGGGTTTTTGTTTTATTCAAAAAAAATTATAGCTATAATACAAATTCTAAATAATTTAGCTTTTAAAAAGTCGGTTACAAGTTTTTGTATTTAATTTTTTTTAATATACATAGATATTATTACGATACGTATTGTATAATTATCTATAATCCATTTTTCTTAAATAATTTTTAATTTGGCGATTGGCTAGTTCCTTATAAAAGTTTGGAGGATCCTTAGACCAGGTGCAGTGATCATGCCTGGCGGATTATGGTCTAACAGTTGATGTTTGGCAGTTTTACATAAACTAACCGGCGCCGGCACGAGAATTATCATTGCGCGATGCAGGTAGTTCGGTGTGTCTTCGTTAGATGGCACAGAAGGTTATTTCTCTTTTGTTCTTAATGGAACTCGATGCAAAAGGAAATAGCACACAGCTTTTATTAAATATTATATATATATATATATATATATATATATTCAATTTAAATTTTATGTATTATTAGCAGCTTCGTCTCTGTGTCGTATATCTCTCGTATAAATCTAAATGAACGGATGGAGTAGTGGTTAAAACGGTCACCTCGCCGCATCCAACTGCACTGAGTGTTGTAACACTTTGTGTGATCCACAAATTGTTGTTATGAGTCTGGGTGTTCTTTGTATCCGTGTACGTGTGTGAAGTCCCTCGCAGCACAGGATATATTCCAAGTGCGGGCTAAAGCTTTTATTTTGTGTGGTTTGGTGACAATTCTCAGTTTTATGATTGGCATTGGTACATTTAGTCGTACAATTTCTTATAGACCTAATCTAGTCACGACAAACGTACTTAGCTTCACTTTACTTGTGGAATCCTTACAGCTGTCTCTGTAAAACATCTCTGTACGTTGTAAGATAGTCTGCAACATGGCCGACCTAGTTCCTAACTCTAATTGAACAATGTTATTAGTGAAGGTCTATTTCCTCTCTGTTTAATTACCGAAATATGGAAATTCTCCGCGCTTTTTGTGCAAGCACTTTCTACTTGTATTAAAGTGAGATGCATATATTACTGATGGTCTGCTATATGGAGGGTCGCTCTAATAATTCTGAGAATGAAATTTAGGTTTTTTTAACTACGAAACCACTTTTACTGCGATTATCTATTTTCTATGTTCAAGTGAAAACTCTTAATCGGTCAAAACTACTTTTCACTGGTAAATTTTATACAGTAAGATTTGACAGTGCAAAGAAATAGTAATTTATAAACAATACTTATCCAGCCAGGGGGGACTTAAAGCACCCCCTGGCTCTCCCAATATAAATGAAGTTAACACAACGAGGGAGCGATACATTTATTAATGTAATCCAAAATACTTTACATATATTTTATAACGAAGGAAACGCCAAAAATTAAAAAATCAGGATAAGTGCGAGTCGTACTCGCCCACCGGGGCTTCCGTAGAAACTAGCAGGTACATATTATAAATAGTTCAGGAATCGAGTCTCGCAGTTTTTGCCGAGCTTTTCCCGAAATTCTTTTTTCAAAACCTATGATTATATTATCGTGTTTTATAAGTGAAATTGTACATCGATGGTTGATTATGTACTTTAAATAAAGACTATATTTTTTATGATTTAATTACAAATGTACAGTTTTCAGACAGGGAAAATCTGAAAACGACGATGAAAAAAGAAAAAGACGATGTTACTTGCCAAATTTCATAGTTATAGGTCAACGGCCATATCTTTTTTTTACGTTAATTTAGAAGTTTGATTCTGCACAGCTTCAAGGGACTGTAGACCTGAGCACATAGTTTTAATTTCAACTCGATACCTAAACGCGTTCCCGAGATAAAGAGTCTTGACAAATAGACGGACAACAAAGTGATCCTATAAGGGATCCGTTTTATTAAACTCTAAAACCTGAATGTTTGCAAGTTATGAAAATAAATTACCATAATTCATAAAACATATATTTCTATCTTTTCAGAACAAAAAGCAATGGCGACAACAATGGCTACGGCTACAGCGACCATGGAGTCGTCTCAGACCCTCATTCAAACGGAGTCGAGGATCCAGAGAAGCTACCAGGAGGTCCAAGTCTCGGAGCAGAGACAGGTCAAGAAGAAGAGCAAATCAAGACGGCATAAGGACGAAGGCGCTATATCTGTGGTGAGTGTCCGAAAGAATAACAATAGTGATTTAATATAAAAATTATTAAATTGTTAGCCTATTTACCTCCTTTGTTTAGGAAAGGCGAATACCACTTAAAACTCTAATTCATATCCAAAACAACAACACTAGTCCTATTAAATGATTTTGGAATACTCAATTTAAAAAAAAAAAACTGATTTTTGCATCATTGCCTTTTAAACGTGGTATTAATTCTTCTTTCATCATCACAACATCCACATCCACATCATCAACATCCACACTGGACATAAGCCACTCCTTAAAAAGGAGGTTTTGGCCTAATATACACTGGCCAGTCGGATTGGTATAGAGTTGTCAAGTTTTCCTTTTCTTTGCAGTGCCGTTGTCTTGCGTAGTTTCGTCTCTTAGTCAAGGGGGTCTTCTAGGGATGAACAGGGGTCGTGACACTCCGTATTCTTAATCCGTCACAACCCCCTTCCCACCTGTTAAAACATTCTTGACATTTTTTTAACTTAAAATTCATATCTTCCAGTCTAAAAGTTCGGAGAAGTTGTATAAGAAGATGAAGGCAGCATCGGAGGCCGACTCAAACCCTCAGTGCCAGAAGTGCTCCAGGCCGGTGTACGCGATGGAGCGTATCAAAGCCGAGAAGAGAATCTGGCACAAGGAATGTTTCCGATGTGTCCAGTGCAATAAACAACTCACGTAAGTATTTGATGTTTTAAAAGGAACAGGGAAATAAACATGTTAAAATGAAGAATTAAGAATATTTGGTACAGTTTCTTATCTTTTTATCACTAATATTATAAAGGCAAATGTTTGTGAGTGTGTTTGTTACCTTTTCACGCTCAATCGGCTGGACTAATTTTGATAAAAGGTATGGAGGTAGCTTATACCTTGGAGTTACACAATAACATTCACAGTCTAGAAACAGTCAGTCGGGTAATATCGAACGGACCCGAATATGAATAGAATACTGAGGACAGTAAATTCCACTAAAACATTATTAGTTTCGACGACCGAATGGCGTAGTGGTTTGTGTAACGGACTGCTATGCCAAAGGTCGCGGGTTCGATCCCGCTCAAGTCAAGCATTTGTTTGCATGAACATTTAATGTTTGATTTGGTCTGGGTGTTTCTATGTATAATATGTATGTATTTACATTAAAAAAAAAAGTATATATGTATTTATATCAGTTGTCTAGTACCCATAGTACAAGCTCTGCTTAGTTTGGGACTAGATGGCGTTGTGTAAATGTGGTGGAATATTATTATTATATTATTATAGTTGTAAAAAAAATTTCTCGTTGTAGAATGGAGACATACCAGAGTGACCACACCACTTTGTACTGCAAGCCACACTTTAAGCAACTATTTGAGCCCAAGCCGGTAGATGGGGATGATGAGACAGATGGTAAGACAACCCCTCTTCCATGACTAATCGCATTCTCGGGGTTAAAAAGAGGCATATTAAGGAAAGACCAATGATGTAACAATTTATTGTATCATATTTTGGAAAGAAACTGATTCCCGATATACAGCTCACGTTAGTTTGGGAATTAGCTTGCACTTGAATTTTGTTACCAAAAAAAAAATTATTTATTATTATTAACTATAAGTTGGTCTCTTTTGCTAACTATAATTTAAAAAGGAAAATTGATTTACAGAGTATAAGAAAATGATTCTTACCTGTTTCATTTTCAATATTTATTTATATCTTTATTGTATACACGGAGTGTCGCCACCCCTATTCATCCCGTGGGTGTCGTAAGAGGCGACTAAGGGAGCAAACTACGCAGGACAACAGCACTGCAAAGAGAAGGAAAACTTGACATAAACCCTATACCAACCCGACTGGCCAGCGTGGCATAGTAGGCCAAAACCTCCTTTCTAAGGAGAGGCCTATGTCCAGCAGTGGACTATTAAAGGCTGTTGATGATGATGATGATGATGATGAAGTAACAAATGTGTATACATAACAATCGCTCGCGGTGATCTCTTACAGACAACCTAAACATTAACGAAGGGCGATTTCAAATTAGACAGTTGTTTGACGCGAATCGTCTTATTTGAAAAGGTACCCCGACTTCCCATTCGAGTACCTATCGTGGGCGCATTAATTCCTGTAAATATTATTAATTATTATTTGTAAACCAATGTACATATTAATTTAAATGTTTTCCTCGACAGCTACTCCCAAAAAGCATCAGATGATTATCTGCGAGAGCAACCCGATAGAGTTACCGCCAGATGTCGTTAGAGGTATATATCAGTTGTGATATTTTAAACATAGATGGCGCCAACCGAAAAGTTATACCGGAATATAATATTTACACAGTCATCTTAACACGTTAAGTTAAGCCGTTGATCCCGGTTGCATTGAAGTTCAGCCATATCGTAGTGAACTTAAAGCCGACCCCAACTAGCTTGGAAAAAAAGGCTCTGATCAAGCATCTTAAGACATAGAATAAAACTGCCTACTATTTATAAAAGTTCTGTTTACAACACTTACATTACTGAGGAAATATTTGTTCATTTGTAGACGATAAACTCAAGAACTATTGGCTCGATCTTAATAATTATTTTACCATTAAAAAGTTACCAAATCCAGAAGCAAAGATAAATACAAGTAATTCTGTTTGATTATTTGTTACGCTTTTATGCCTTAATTACTTAACCGATCATCGTGAGAATTTCAATATACATGTTTAAGCTCCAAGTTGTTAATTTTTACTATATTTCATCCCGAAAAATAATATTGTTCATGAGACAATCTATATTCGTGTACTCTTGGAGTCAAAGAGGAAAGCTACAAAGCTATATTTAATTACAGTAATGTTCATATTGCATTGTCGTGCCCTCAGCCTCAGACAAACCAGACCTGGGCCTGGAGGAGCTGTCGCAGCTGGACGTGAAGTCCCGCTTCGAGGTGTTCGAGCGCGCCAGCAGCACTCCCGACGAGCCCCCCCTCCCGCTGGAGCCGCGCGCGCCCAGGGAGAAGAGCGCCGCTCTACTGTCCAAGCTTGCCAAGTTTGTCACTTTCTCTTTTAATTTTAAACAAGCTCCAATATTAGCACAACTTCTGACATTTACAATACATAGATGGCGCTAGTAACAAAAAATGCATACCTTTTTTAATTTAAACTACTATAAATAACTTAAGCATATGAAAAATAAATAAATACGAACACAATAGTAGAAAAACAGGAATTATTGTCCTCGTCTCATAGGCTTTGTGCATTCTACAAACGTATAGCTTGTAGTGTAAAACAGTTTTAACAAAAAACTGTGGAATTCATTGAAATTTCAATGTTTTGAATTATTTTAGGTGTGCAATGCGTTAAATGTAAAAAAAAAAATCAAAGTTTAAATAGAGAGAGAGAGAGCAAGAATTAAACTAAGCATTATAAAAAGAGTAAAAGTATTTTGAATGGAAATGGATAGCCAGTTGAAAGTGCTAAAAGAAGAGATGTGACCTTTGATTAATCAAAGGGCGGCAAAGCACTTGTGATTCTTGACCTTGAACCTCATAATAATAATACACCGACATTTACAAATGAAATGAAACAATAGGTCACATTACCAACTTGCCTACTAGTAATTACCTACAAGAAATCATACGCGCCAACATTCAAACTATAAAGTTGTTTTTTTGTCTGTTTTGTGTGTATATTATTACGTTCTGTGTAATATGTAAGTGATCTGTGACTAACTTACATAATACCTCCTGAAAACATTCTGTATTGTCTTGTGCACTGTAACTTATCTCTGATTTATACATATATATATATATTTATATAAGTGAGGATTTGTCATTGGCTATCTGTTTTCTTGACTGCTTTTATTCTGATCATCAAAAATAAATAAACTTAAAAATGTATTCTTAAAGGATGGTGTAGTGGTCTAACCGGTCACATCGACGCTTCCTACTACGCTGAGTGTTGTGGTTTTGATCCCCACATGGGACGACACTTCGTGTGATCCACAAATTGTTGTCCTAAGTCTGGGTGTTCTTTGTGTCCGTTTCATTGACGTTTGTAAAGTCCCCCGCGACACAGGATTATATTCCTAGTGCGGGAGTTGTCTTGTTAAAATAAAACAAAAGGTTAAATCAACTATAAAACCTGACCTATGCCCAATGTACCAAATACAAGTGATGTAAATTATTTAGAAGTCTAAAACCACGTTCAAAATACTCTACCAAAGCTTATTCTTTTAATTCTTTCTTTATATAAAAAGAGAAAATGTATATTTTTATCATACTATAATTTGTAGAGCGTCTAAACAGTTTTGGTCCTTTATCAACCATGGATAACTATCTATTGATCGTTGTAAAATAATTATGTAAACAAAATAATGTTATCGTTACATTTATTTCTTTGAATTCACAAGATTAGAACACTAGTAGGAAATTAACAAATAGCCAATGACATGTATCCATTTCTACAAAGTGTACGTAAACAATTTTAAAGAACACATAACGTAGGTCTTAGGAATCAGTATGTATCATTAATGATCATTATACAAGGTGTAAGGGACATTGTACCGAATACTGAAATAGTGTATTCAGACCGTGATTGTTAAAAAAAAATTTTTTTTTTTAATTTTCCTATTTTCTGGTTGAAAATGATGAAAAATGATATCACAATGAGTAAACAGAACATTTTACCGAAAACAGTTTAATGAATACCAAAAAACTGCAATGTAATTAATCAGACAGCCGAAGCGCGTGGGGCCTCCCCTTCGGCCGCCATTTTGTGTTAGTGTGACTGTTTGCACGGAATACACACGTAGTTATTACTTTTGTGCGATACCCACGGGGAATGACCTTAACCTTTGACAGCTGATTGCATAAAAAGTTTCAATGATTTTCGACTCAGAAGGATGGTCTGAATACACTATTTCAGTATTCGTTACGAGGTCCCTTACACTGTATATTGAATATAATATATATTGGACGCAATTATATTTGACCTCAATTTGCGAGTCCCACAAATATAAATAAATCTTAATATCTCCTTATATTTGTTACCGGGGCAAAATTTAAGCGCAACATTCATTTTGTTTCAAACAGCATTCATTTAAAATGTAACTCTAACTAAAATATCCAAACGCATAAACTAAACCAATTTGCTCTAAAGTGCATAAATCGGTTAGGATCAAACGTTTATTTTGTCGACATAAATTAATTTGTATAAAGTATCAAAATTATTCAGACGGGTGTTCGAACAACTTGCGTCATACCCTCAGACTGATTCTATTTCTGTAAGCCATGGGAACGGGTCTGCACACTTCATGTGGAGCTGTCCGTAATGGTTGATGTACATTGCTGGTATTCGCTCAAGCTCTGAGAATACAAATTAATGACGCACTTGCTTTGAATTGTATTCAATAATACAAAGAATATTGATACGAATATTAAACATTAAATGATAACTGTTCAAATAAGTACAATTTATTTAATTTGAATTGTAATAAGAAGTTGTCCATATATGGGATATTGCATTTTTCTATGTTATTTTACCCCCATATACTGAACTGGTCCGTGTGGTGACGGATTAAGAATACAGAGTGTCACCACCCCTATTCATCCCGTGGGTGTCGTAAGAGGCGACTAAGGAAGCAAGCTACGCAGGTAACAGCACTGCAGAGAGAAGGAAAACTTGACACAAACCCTATACCAACCCGTCTGGCCAGCGTGGTATAGTAAGCCAAAACCTCCTTTCTCAGGAGGTCCAGCAGTGGACTATTAAAGGCTGTTAATGATGATGATGATACTGAACTAATCGTGTGAATTTATGAATAACGATGTCGAATAAAGAATGATCTCTTAATAAAACTTCTTTATTCTATACAAATGAACAAAATTGAAGTGTCTGTTTGTAATGTCAAAATAATAGGTTTTTTCATGCTCACACGGTTATTTGCACGATACCTATGCCTAAAAACTAGTTTCAATATTTTTTGTCTGTCCGTTTGTTCCGGGTAATCTTCAAAACGTCTGGACCGATTTTAATAATATTTTACTACCAGGTAGCTGTCTATATAACGAATAACTTAGGCAATTTTTTCTCAGAAAACCCTGATAAAATTTTGTCCGGTCCGGGAATCGAACCCACTAAGGAAGCATCCACTTCATTTCATATTCCACGCGAACGAAGTCGCGAGCACCAGCTAGTTATTATTAAATTAGCTTAACACGAGTGCATCGTTCCACAAAACCTAACATTTTAATAGTCATTTATATATTATTCCTTATGAAAAAAAGTGAGCCCCAGTAAAAACACAATTGTTTATTTAAAATCAAAAGTTGCGCATAAAATGAAAACGTAAACTAGCTACCCTAGTCGTATATTATGTAACACATCTGACGGTCAAATCTAGTGTCGCGCGTTCATTAGCCAAATCAAACAGCGCTTAAATCCCTTTGTTGATCACACACTTATTACTCACTGTTCGAAATTATTCCCACAGATTAGAGGAAAATGAAATTACGTCATAAAATTAATTTACAATACTCACTACGCAATGTATTCCAAATTTATCGATACATCATCTACACATAAACTCACACTAGTACAGGGCGGATTTTTTCTTTAGCTCAATATGTTCCATAAGGTTTTTTTTTACATGCGTTTTAATTTTTTTCATTATAGCCATGTTATCTCACGACCGTAAGGTTGAATGTCGCTTGTAATCTATATTTCGAGATCCATGTCTATCACATTGTAGTCTGCGATGCGTTAAAGGCGGGTGAAATTTCGATATTTTAATAAAAAGCTTGTGGAGTTTTAGTGCACAGTGGTTGTAGATTTTGTATTGTTTTGTGTTATTATGTACAGGTACGTAGATAATTAGTTTTAAAGTTTATTTCTAATGTGTACAATAATTTATGTACTTGACTTAACGTTGGTAGCCAGGGTACAGCATATGGGTACACCTATCTTAGTTTTTTCTTGAGATTTAATTGGTATCCACATCCGGTGTATATTAATTTAGATGTGGAAACCTCATATTATTATAATAGCCTTTTTATTTAAAATTATGATCAAAATAATATGTGTAATCAAGAAGGCCAAAACCTCCTTTCTAAGGAGAGGCCTATGTCCAGCAGTGGACTAGTAAAGGCTGTTGATGTGATGTGATGTCAAATAGGTTAACACATTGCAAATTTAAGCAATCCTAACCAGGATAGTCTTCCTCTAACCAGCCGTCCACAGAACCACTAAACCGATTTTAAAAATGTAAACAAATCTATGATCACATATTCAAAGTTGGATCTGTATAAAATTCTTTCAAATTTTCGTATTTCATGATATACAATTTTACTGTCGTGAGTTACTATATACCAACCCGTCTGGCCAGCGTGGTATAGTAGGCCAAAACCTCCTTTCTAAGGAGAGACCTATGTCCAGCAGTGGACTATTGAAGGCTGTTGATGTGATGTGAGTTACTTAAATACACATATGTACTGTATACACATATGTGTGCAATATATACGTAATAGATTCACCTAGGTATGAAGTTTTTGGCGTTCCGAGCAATGTAACCATAGTGTGAAGTCCGGTAACAGGGTTTTTGTGGAACCATGGTTAATTTTGAAAATGTCTGTTTCTATAAACTCAATTTTAGTTCTCTCTGCACACCTACAACTCTAGAACCCCAGGCTTCTGGGTGTGTGTGCAACGATATGGGGAGGGGGAAGTCGGATCTTGGCAACATCGGTTTTCTGTGAAACCATGGTACCACTCCGGTCCAGCCGGCCCATTTATGTGGAAGCATGACTCCCACGGTCGAAATCTCTCTCTCTCTCTCTCTCTCTATATCCCTCTTTCTTATTTATCTTCTTAAAGCATTGTCCTAGCCTTCAATGTGTTCTATGGGCGACTGTTGGGTATTGTTTCCCATGTGTATAATCTGTGGTGTAATCCCCAGGTTCAAAGCGAAGGGCATGGACGTTGGCGTATCAGACGAGTACCTGAATGGAGTGCCCATTGAGGAGAGCGCCAGCGAGCCAGAAGATGAAGACGGTAAGTGTAGGTACGGTAAGGAGCTGGATGCTAAGTGATAATCCTATCCAGGTCTGTCTACCTCTAAAAAACCCTCCACCGAACCACTAAACAGATTTTAAAAATTATTTTACCAATCGAAAGCTACATTATCAGCGAGTGGCATAGGCTCGACTACGATAACCGCCATACACGCTGGCGGAACCGAAAGATAACAAAGGCACTCCGGAATAATAAAATTATGGAGATCAGATAAAATTGCTTTATTGATTACTAGCTGACCCGCGCAACTTCGTCTGCGTCTCTCAATGGAAATAAATTTTCTCCGTTTTTGAAACATTCTTCATTGGTGCTCCGCTCCTATTGGTCTTAGCGTGATGATATATAGCCCATAGCCTTCCTCGATAAATGGGCTATCTAACACTGAAATATTTTTTTTAATCGGACCAGTAGTTCCTGAGATTAGCGCGTTCAAACAAACAAACAAACAAACAAACTCTTCAGCTTTATAATATTAATATAGATATTTAACAATTCAGTGCGGAATGAATTTTAATGTAATGTAGTAGTAGGTGTTTTAGGCCTAAGACTTGTTTTATTATATTAATAACATACTTCATCCTTGACGACCGAATGGCGTAGTGGTTTGTGTAACAGACTGCTATTCCAAAGGTCGCGGGTTCGATTCCCGCTCAAGTCAAAACATTTGTGTGCATGAACATTTAATGTTTGATTTGGTCTGGGTGTTTCTATGTATAATAAGTATGTATTTACAAAAAAAAAGTATATATGTATTTATATCAGTTGTCTAGTAGCCATAGTACAAGCTCTGCCTAGTTTGGGACTAGACGGCGTTGTGTGAATGTGGTGCAATATTATTATTATTTATTAAACAGCTCCTTATTATCAAACATTAAACAGCGTGTGGTGACGGATTAAGAATACAGAGTGTCACCACCCCTATTCATCCCGTGGGCGTCGTAAGAGGCGACTAAGGAAGCAAACTACTCAGAACAACAGCACTGCAGAGAAGGAAAACTTGACACAAACCCTATACCAATCCGTCTGGCCAGCGTGGCATAGTAGGCCAAAACCTCCTTTATTTATTTATTTGGAAACTTAACAGCTATGTTACATATATAATGGGTGAATTTAAACATTTATTTAGACTCTTAGCCAATAATAAAGTTTCGCGACAAGTAAAAGAAAATTTCGTGCACCACTTAAACATAGGCAATTGTAAGTATTATATACTATCTCTAATTTAGTTATATTAGGTATATTTTGCAGAGTGAGAAGTATTCCAAAAGAAAGCAACTTACAAAAACAATCTTAATTTGGATTCACAAGCATGATTGCAACTTTTTAGTTATTTGTCTTTCTAAGGAGAGGCTTATGTCCAACAGTGGACTATTAAAGGCTGTTGATGTTATGTTAAACAGCTCCTTATTATATAACTTTTGTGTACAGACGAGGACTCAGTTCTGAGGAAGTCATACAAGCACACAACTAACCGCGAACAGCCCGTCTCGTTCTGCAACATGAGCGAGATAGTGGGCAAGTTCGAGACAGGCCAGCACTCCTCATCGGAGCGACACCGCGAGAGGAAGCAGGAGATACAGAACATACGCAGCAGGTTGTTCATGGTGAGTCACTGATTACAACTCCTTTTATTACAACCAGAGATAAGTTTTTTTTTTTGCTTTTGAAATAGAAATGACAAATATTTGTTAGTTTAAATATTACTTATTTTTTAAAGACAACTCCCGCATTAGAAATATATCCTGTGTCACGGGGGACTTTACAAACATACATAAAAAACACCCAGACTAAGAACAACAATTTGTAGATCACACAAAATGTCGCCCCATGTGGGATCGAACCCACAACACTCAGCGTAATAGGAAACGGCGTGGCGACCGCTTAAACCATTACGCTATCCGTGCAGTCACTCAGTATTTGCATTCTCTTAGCATAATTTTACCCATGAAATGTATTAAATATATTATTTTTTGTAACATAGTCAGTGAAGCATAAATAAAAAGAACCACTAAACTGTCAATTTTGTTTTGTTACAGGGCAAGCAAGCTAAAATAAAGGAGATGTATGAACAATCAGTGCTGCAGAGCGAACAAGGTAATTTATTGTCTGCACAATATTCATTTCATGTTTATAATAGATGTTTCACTTTTGGAGCGATGAATTTATTATTATACACGAACTTAACTGTACTACAATCAATTGAATGCTCAGTTTTAATTATGGTTGTAATAAAAAATTTGAATAGTTTACTTTAACGTATAGATATATGTCGATATGTCAGGGAGGACTCCAGAAGCCGCTGATGCGTTCCTGGAGATCCTCCCGACTGTCGAGGCAGGCCGCCGTGGGGTTTAATGGGTAGACCGGTTCTCCGGGAGTCGATGGTATGGTGCGAAACGCATTCCTCGCGTAAAAATAAACGAATAAAGTTTTATAATAAGTCTAATGTTGTAAAATAGTAAAAAATGCATTACTGTAACAAACAAAATTTTAAGAAGTTAACTTGAAATGCATAGATTTTTTTGAAATTCATGGAATACTCCGATAGGATCCACCAACCAGACTAAGGTCTGTTGTCAAGAAGTTATGTATGTAAAAATAAGATCGAAAACTGCCATTGCGCCAAATAGAATCATGCGTTACTTCTCGCTTCGGCTTGCCTGCACTAGATGGCGCTGAAATAAATTTCTTTATTTGTGAATGTAGTTAGTATAATTGTAAGTATGTATTGACATCGTTAAGTCCAGTATGCGTGTGATGTGCAGGCGTGACGTCATCGGACAAGATCGCCCGCGACCTGGAGCTGAGCGCGGAGAAGTCGCGCGCCATCAAGGAGCGCTTCGAGAACGGGGAACTGTTCAACGACGAGAACCTGCCGCCCAGGAACAGGGAGATCGACGACAGGGCACTCTTCAACGAAGGTCACTATCGTTTTATTGGTTTTTAAGTAAAACTTCTTTACGCACGATTGACTTGGGGAGTAAACTGGTGAATGCGTGACGAGAGCGTTACGAAAGGTGTGACCGGGCGATGCGAACGAAAGTTGAGAGAGGAGATATAAGTTAGTGAAGATAAAAAGAGAGAGAATTACGATTCGTATATTACTGTAGGGGTAAGAGAGAGAGGTGCGAACACACATTTTCTTTCCTCCATAGACAAGAAGTTTTACTTCAGTCGTGTAGTCTAAAGCACACTCGTTTTTTATTTACTTGTTTATTGCAGGTGTAGAGGATATACACATACTAGCACTACCTACAGGTGTAAAAAAACTTAAACAAAAATCTCGTACAAAAGTCAATAGGGTAAATGACTGTCAAATAGTATCTTTTTTAAACGTCAAAACGCTAGACGCGGTACATTTTTGTATGAAGTACTATTACGTGACGTCATACCTAGCTATTGTCAAATCATTTATATTTAATGTTTTTATCAAGATATCCAATCAATAAAAAGATTAAATTAATAATGGAAGACAATTCAGGCTCTACTTTAAGATGTTACATTTAATGATTCAGGCGAAATAATTTATTTTAAATCTTAGAATATACACTATTCTATTAATAAAAATGGACCATTATATGTGTATATTAATTAATTGTATTCAATAGACATAGAACCCGCGGATTACATGAAATGCTTGAATGTAATTTTTTCGAAGTAATCTGCTGTATTTTGAAATTTTTCAATGAAATAATCTGTTGACTTGTTATTATGTTGATAATTTTATCAAAAAATATAAATTTATATAAAAAAATAAATCATCAACGAACGAATAAGATTTTGAACCCGAACTTAATGATCTGAACAATGTTTCTGTTTTCGATATGTCGTCTCTTACATCCTGTATACTCTTTCATTTTAACCGACTTCAAGAAAGGACAAGGTTTCTACGATAAATATTCCTTCCAAATTCAGTTAACTGTAGTTCACCACAATAAGAATGAAGCATGGTATATATTGCAGGTATAGGCAAGAAGTCTCGTTCGATATTCCTGGAGCTGGACGCGAACGCTAAGACCATGCCTCCCACCTCCCCTCCACCACAGGACGTGCCTAAGCGAAAGGAGATTGTAAGTTGCTTGACTCCTAATGACTAAGCCGTTAGTATAACAAGTTACTAATTCAACCCCCCTTCTCCCCTCCAAAACCCTACAGACGTGAACCCACTACTAACCAACCAATTTGTAAGAGTACTAGTAATGTTTTATGACCGTTTATAGTAACGGTCTTTGAAAAGAACTCATTGGTCTAATCAAATAGCCCACTACCCCTCGGCTTACACAGTTTCTTCCCATTTCGTTAAATACTAGGATCACTGTTTGCCCGTTTCTCACAGCCAATTTGTTCAACTGAACCGATTAACTTCAAATATGGTAGCAGAGAGGCTAGTGTATTTCAGCAAGTTCAAAAAAAGAGCGTACTCCTTCCTAAAAGGCCGGCAACGCGTTTGTGAGTCCTGAGTTGCAGACGTTCATGGGTGGCGATGGTCACTTTCCATCAGGTGACTCGTCTGCCCCCTCTAACATAAAAAAAAAAAGTTTATTTTACATCAACTCGCTTTCGACAACAAGCGCGTACGGCGTTGGGATTGGTAAAGATTTTAGCGCGAGCCAATCACAGCACCAAAACCTCAGCCGTACAACGTAAATTCAACCATGGAAAACCCATGCTTCGGCCCAAATAAGTCAGCTCGACCGGAGTCGAGGGGGGGCCCAGTAGGTACCAACGTACTTGTGACTCTTAGTTGTAGGTGTCCGTTGACGGCATTGCTTACTTACCAGCGGGTGCCGTGGGCCTCAATTCTGCTATTTTAATATTGTATCAATAGACTGTCGATGGAAAGTCTTCGGAATAGTTTTGCACTTTTACTATTCTACTATGTAAAACTAATGGCCTCCCAATGACTTGACTGAAGTCACTGATACAAATGTTGATATCTTTGTAATAGTTTGACAACATTACGGTACTATTTAAATATGTAAAGAAATTATATATTAAATTTTCCAGATATGGCAATGGTGTTAATATCACCATTGATGAGCAAGTGTCACTACATCGACAGTTTATTGAAACTGTGAATTTATGTTAGTAGAATGCCGATATTTTGACCGGTGTCAATGGCATCTCCACAGCGTGTCAATGGAATTTCAGCAGCTTGTGCGTTAACATAAAATTGCAGAACTGAGGCCCAGATCATTTGCCCCCTATGCTTTTTAAAAAAAAAATGCTTTATCCATAATAATAATAGCTTATCCTCGCCAGCCGTTCATCCCCAAGGACGTGGTCCGCGCCGCCGACAAGCTGGAGGACGTAAAGATCGAGACGTCTGACATCTCAGACCGGTTCAAGTTCTTCGAGACGTACAAGCCGGAGACCAAACGCAAGGAGTTCCGCATGACGCCGCCCAGGCAGACACAGGTTTGTTACAAAACTATACTGGTCTATTCGCATTAAAAATATAGTGACGCTTCGATCAAGCCCCGCCCCTTGACCAATCAGGTTTCAAGAAATTGTCGTTTCGTACGAAAGCTTGGAATTATTTTCTTAGCGTACAACTTAATTATAGTAATAAATATTTTCAATAGACACGTATACATAAACTCACGTTACGTCACAATATATTGATACGTTACGAAACATTTACAAATTTTGTCGGAATTTAACTACATATTGTGCAGTATTTTTCCTAAGCTATCTTTTTTTTGTTTATCCTTTTGGATTTTGATGGTTTCACACATGCGAATGAGAAAACGAAATCCGTATAGGATCACTCGGTCTTTCTGACCGTCTGCCATAGACAATTTGCTTCGCATCTACGCCACAGATTAAGTTAAAAAAAGTGAATTTTGTTGGGTACCGTTAAAACTTTTGAGTTTAACAATAGCAATAAAATTGTATATATTGTTGCGCCATAGAATTAAATGGTTCGATTGTATGGAACGTGGAGGACAGCGCCATCTAATATCGACCAAAGTACATCTATTAAGATTGTGGTTAATACGAGTAGTTCTGATCCTTACAGTGCTAGATGGCGTTGCAAGTAACGCGTGACTAATTCTGGAATATTCTTGTTTGTCTGGAACGGACTATCGAATACTAGGGATCTTTCTAGTAAAATTCAAAAGCGCAATAAAAGCGAAGCGTGTTGGCCATTCGAGACAGTATCGTTTTACGATACAGCGAATTAACATCGGCGTGAATTTCTAGTGCGACTAACAAGATGTATAGTGATTTCTAGTATATTATAGTGAGTGTTTGTAAATACAGGAAATAAAGTAATTAACCGACAACTTTTATTCATTATATACCCCGCTCGTAACGATATCAATGTAAATCATAGTTGCGAAGTTCATGACCGCGACGTAAGTTACTGCGAAGTTTACTATCGCAACTTTTATTGTTCCTAAAGTTCTTTAATGCGATGTAGGTTACTGCAAGAGTTTATCTTTGCGATATACGTTGTCGCGAAAGTTTTTTTTTTTACTCCGATGATTGCAGTTTCTATCATTAGTTCATAGTGGAAATTATTATATTGTTGGACATGACTAAATAAATTAAAATTGTAAGCAAACTTAAATTGGTCCAAAAGATAATTAAATTTTCAAAAGCACAATCCATGTAGGATACTTTATCTACATAAATGACATATAAAGAGAGAAGGAAAACTTGACACAAACCCTATACCAACCCGTCCGGCCAGCGTGGTGTAGTAGGCCAAAACCTCCTTTCTAAGGAGAGGCCTATGTCCATCAGTGGACTAGTAAAGGCTGTTGATGATGATGATTGATGATGACATATTAAAAAAGAATAGCTTTTCTTTGCCGGTTACTATAACTATGATTTACTCTGTATATATTTATAGTCTAGGAGAGGTTTAAAGATGTCAGTGTAGTCTGAAGGGGATCGTTATTTGATAAGTGGTGCAATTTGTGTGGCAGCGCGCCAAGTCTCCGTCCCCGGAGCTGTACCACGAGCCCAGCGTGGTGCGAGCGGGCGAGGAGGGGGGAGGCGACACGGCCGTGGCCGCCGCTAGACACACCGCACAGCGCATGATCAACGTCTTCCGCCAGCTCGAGCACCAGCAGCACCACGCCGAAGAGCCGCAAGGTACCACTTATTTTTTACGAGCGGAAACCGCCTCGGCCCGTCACACCTAGTCTATACTTATATCATATTATAAATCTAAAAGTAACTGTCTGTCTAATAGCTTTTTATGTCATAGGAAACAAACGAGCAGACAGGTCGGCTGATGGTAAGTGGCTACCGCCGCCCATTGTCACCTGTTGTCACCATTGTCACTCATAAGGCACGAGTGCGTTGCGGCATTTGAGGTGGACTCTTTTCTTGAAGGCTTGATGTCTGTTAAGCTTCGCGCGACGCCACGCGAACAAAAACTAGTTTCATATTAATTTAGTAAAACGGTTTTGTTGCATCATTCAAATCAAACTATATTTGTACAGGTCCTAAACCTCTGAAGAGGTTCACTCCGCCTCCTCCGGGCGAGAACAATCATCAGGGTGACACATCATCCGAGGAGTACTCGTCTGAGGAATACGAAGAGGACAGCGAGGATGAACGGCGCCGGGTGTACTTCGAAGCGAGGGAGAGGGACGAAGCGCTCAAACAGGTAACATGGTTACATAATACATTTAGATTCCATCTTTTTTTTTTATCCTAATGAAAAAACAAAACCCATAAAATAATCACTATCTGTTTGCACGTTTCTCTCAGCCAATTTGAACCTAAATTTCGTGTATTGTAAACAACATAACTGAAACACACCAATGGGGTGTCGTTTACAATTTTTCTTTTTAGTAACGACACCACTGCTGACTAATGATGTATAACATAAAATAAAACAACTTGATTCGTAAAACATAATAATTGTATCCATTACAAAAAAAACAACTAAATTAATTTATAAAACTTGATCTGATATTAACAATTATTTTTTTTACCTTATCTTAGTTTCACTTTATGTCTAATACATGTTGGTTTAATTACACATTTTGAGTAAGTTAGTTCTACAACTTGTCGATAGATGGCGTTGATCTTGTTTTCTGAATCGCGCTATTAAGATATACGAACGGGTGTTCTTAAGGTTAGAAAAATTAATAAAATGTGTCTCTGTTCTGAGTGTGGTGTTTTATTTCGTGATACTTTTGGGAAGTGTACATTTGGTCCTTCTTGAGCCGATAAAGGACTGGCATACATTGTCCCCGTGGAGCTAGTTTTGCGACAGCGCATCAAAGGTGAAGAGTGGAGCAGCGCAAGCATCAGCGCGCATACATTGCGCAGTTGGAGTAAGCAGTGTTTGCAGTGTGAGGGGAAGGTCGACCCCCCTTGACCTACGGCGAGCTACGTAATACGTGAGTGGACAGTGTATATGAAGTGATTGAAGATAAACTGTGAGTACTTTTAATTATTTAATAATAGTGGAGTTAAATTTATTCAAGATTGACTATTTAATGTTAAATGTTAGCTTGGACTTAGAATAGTTTCTTAAAAAGTGAAGAGACGGGGAACCTATGCCCGATTTTAGTTAGAATTTCACCGGAAAAGACTTGTAAATTTTTAAAAGAATTTATATCTACACTGACTTTGTGCAATAAAACTTAGTGATTCGAAGTGCTACTACTAGTGGTTTGTACAAAATGCAAGCATTCGAAAGAATTCAATTGGACACAAGTGCGGCTATTGCCCGAGCACGTTCTAACTTTAAAAAATCTCCAAAGGAGCGAATTACACAAAATTACGTCGAAGTAAGGTTGGAGAGTTTAGAAAAGCAATGGAAATTATTTAATGATTCACATTATAAGATCCTGCAAGAGGTTGAGGAAACCGCATATGTCGCATCTAAGTATTATTCTACGAACCTATATCAGACTACTGAAGAAGTATATTTCGATTACAAAATAGAACTTAAGGAAATGTCTACTAAATTAAATCAACAAATGCCAACATTGCAGAGTACCACTAAGGCTTCAGATAAATCATGTGATATTAAATTACCAAAAATTTCTTTGCCAGTTTTTTCTGGTAACTATTCCGAGTGGATAAGTTTTAGAGATTTGTTTGTGTCCTTAATACATAGCAATAGCAAATTGGATGATGTACAAAAACTACATTATTTAAAGACTCATTTGTCTGGGGAAGCTGAAAGTCTTTTACGTCACATTCCTATTACTAGTAGTAATTACTTAACTTGCTGGTCACAGTTAGAAGGCAGATATAATAACACAAAATATTTAGCAAATTGTATTTTAAAACGATTTATGAGCCAAAAGAATATTGTAACTGAATCTGCCCATGCGTTAAAAGAATTATTGGACACATCTAATGAATGTTTACATGCATTAACTAACTTAGGAATTAGTGTCGTTAATTGGGACATAATAGTAATATATATTTTGAGCTTAAAGTTAGATAATGAGTCCCGCAAACAGTGGGAATTAAAAATTAGTGACGCTTCCAATCAGTTACCTACATTTAAACAATTTCAAGATTTTATTGAACAAAGATTTAGAGCTTTGGAATTCCTAGATGATGGCAAGGTTCGTAATGTATTATTGCAGCGTAAGGTATCCTCAGTAAAGGCACACTCGGTGTCTACTGCATTGTCTTGTTCCTATTGTCAAGATAATCATAAAATAGCAAACTGTAAAAAGTTCTGTCAACAAGACATTGATACGCGACGTGATTTTGTCCAAACGAATGGTCTATGCTTTAATTGCTTAGGTGTCAGTCACTCAGTATATTTGTGTCGCCAGTCAACAAGGTGTCGCTTATGTAAGAAAAAGCATCATACTTTACTACATTCTAAAAATATCGCGAAACCAGGTAATGAACAAAATACGGCTGTTCCTGCTATTGAGAAAGATGTTACTACAGCCCTATCAACTAACCCACCTCAGAGAGAGTCCACTGATATTGTTAGTTGTTTCTCAAATAGCCAAGGTCAAGTACTATTGGCCACTGCTTTGGTAAAGGCACAGTCGAGAAATGGGACCGTTATTGTACTAAGATCTTTGTTAGATCAGGGATCTCAGGCTTCATTCGTGACAGAGTCCATGGTCCAGCTATTAGGTCTTGAAAGGATACCTATCAGAGGTAAAATTACAGGCATTGGTGGTAATCAATGTCAATCCCTATCTTCTAATTCAATGGTTGTTATTCAGGTTCAGTCACGAGTTGACCCCAGCTTTGTCGTTGCTGTCAAGGCCTATGTTTTGAAAAAGTTAACAACTCTTTTACCACAGGAGAAGATAAGGACACAAGTTTTAACGACAATCTCGTCTATGGAATTAGCTGATCCGTCATTTGCTAACCCAAATAAGATAGATCTGCTTTTAGGTGCCGAAGTTTATGGCCAGATAATATTGGAAGGATTAGTCAAAGGTCCACCAGGTTATGCAGTTGCACAAAATACCAAACTTGGCTGGATCTTGTCTGGCCATATAGGTAAATTCAACCATAACGAGACTAATCATAATTGTATTAGCCTACATTCATCACAACAGGAGGAAATTGAACTCCTAAAAAGATTTTGGGAATTAGAGTCCGAGCCTACCTGCGATTTAGAAACCAAGATGTTGAGTCCAGAGGAATCGCAATGTGAAAACCACTTTTCAACCACAACCAAACGAGATGAGTCGGGTAGGTATGTGGTAAAATTACCATTTAGGTCATCAGATCCTAGTTGTAAATATGGTGGATCAAGGGATATTGCTTTGAAACGATTCTTTATGCTTGAAAGGCGTCTAATGAAAAATCCTGATTTGAAGCAGCAGTATTCAGCTGTTATAAATGAGTATTTGACTCTTAATCATATGGAGGTAGTGCAGGATATTGACAAAGAGGGTGCAGTGTATTTACCTCATCACGCCGTGGTACGTAATGATAAGAGCACTACTAAATTGCGTATTGTGTTCGACGCTTCTTGTGTTGGTACTAACGGTAAGTCCTTAAACAGTGATTTAATGGTAGGACCGTCGTTGCAACCTGATTTGCGACACATCATAATGCGTTGGCGATGCCATCCCATCTGCTTAGTGGCAGACATTATTAAAATGTACCGGCAGGTCAAGTTATCAGATGATGATGTTGATTATCTTCGAATTTTATGGCGAGAAAACCCAGATTTGCCAATGCAACATCTTCGGCATCTACGTGTAACATTTGGTACAGCTTCGGCTCCTTACTTGGCAGTCCGATCGTTGCAGCAGTTGGCCACAGATGAAGGAGCAGATTTTCCATTAGTCAAAGGCACCGTTCTGACCGATTTCTACATGGATGATCTCATGTCTGGGTGTGAATCGGTGTCAGAAGGGGTAGAAAAATATAAACAGTTAACCGAGATGCTGAACCGTGGTGGATTCCAACTTCAGAAGTGGTCTAGTAGTAGTGAACAATTATTAGAATCGATTAAGGATACAAAATCAGAATCAGAATGTAATTTAGAAATAAAAGCAGATGCAGTTTCAAAAATTTTAGGTCTAATGTGGAACAAGAAAACTGATGAATTTGAGTACACTGTTCATCTTCCAGACTTGGAACCACCTATAACCAAACGAAAGGTCATATCGGACATAGCACGCCTGTTTGATCCTCTGGGATGGATCGCTCCTGCTATTACTACAGCTAAGGTTTTTATCCAAAGACTGTGGTTGACAGGCATTGAATGGGACGAAGAACTGCCTACCGCTTTACTCAAGGACTGGATTGCATACAGAAGTGATCTATGTAAGCTCACCAAGTTTCGAATACCTCGTTGGATTAGTTTACGTAGCGACAGTCAAGTTTTGGAACTGCACGGCTTTTCAGATGCCTCTACTGTGGCATATTCTGCTGTCGTATATTCACGTGTAATACGTGCGGATGGAAGCATACATGTAAATTTAGTAACTTCGAAGACAAAAATTGCGCCTATAAAACAAGTGTCAATACTTCGCTTGGAACTTTGTGGAGGCGTTTTGCTGGCCAAACTACTTCTTGAAACAGCTACGATTCTGAAGGTTCCAAAGCAGCATTTACACGCTTGGACGGATTCCGAAATTGTCTTAGCTTGGATAGCAAGTCACCCTAGTCGTTGGAAAGTATTTGTGGCTAACCGAGTTGCTGAAATAATCAATATTGTAGATCGGAGTCAATGGGCGTACGTCACTTCCAAGGAGAACCCAGCAGATTGCGCTTCACGAGGAACAAAACCTTCAGAGTGTGATAGCTTGCAAATTTGGAAAAACGGTCCTGTGTGGCTACAAAAAGAAGAAATAAATTATAAAAAAGGCAATATTAAGGAGACTAGTTTGGAAGAAAAGAAATTAAAGATAAAGTGTCATGCAACTAACATCGAAGAAATAGACGACAGTATTTTAACTAGATTTTCGAATTTAAACAGATTAATACGAGTAATAGCATACTGTAGAAGATTTGTTAAGAGAGAAAAATCTGAAAATAAGGAACCAAAAACTACCTGGCTTACTACTAGAGAACTAAATGAATCAATACTTATCTGTGTGAAACTCTGCCAGTATCAGTGCTTCAGTGAAGACATTAAGCTATTAAAATTTAATGGAAGGGTAAGTAAAGCAAGCAAACTTACCTCTTTGAATCCTTTTCTTGACGAACAGGGTGTTTTGAGAGTAGGTGGACGCTTACAACAGGCTCCTATTAACGACGACATGAAGCATCCCATCCTTATTCCCTACAAATCTCACTTTACAAACCTGTTAGTGGCAGAAGCTCACGAGAGAACCCTGCACGGAGGACCTCAATTAATGTTGAATTATTTGCGCTCCAAATACTGGATTATGAATGCAAGGACGCTCGTGAGGCAATATGTGCATAAGTGTATAAATTGTATTCGGTATTCTGCGAAACCAAATCAACAATTGATGGGTCAATTACCTAAATCTAGAGTCACAGCCGGGAGACCTTTCCAGAGTAGTGGCGTGGACTATGCAGGCCCAATAAATATACGTGCCGCTAAGGGTCGTGGTTGTCATTCCACAAAAGGGTATATCTGCCTTTTTGTTTGTATGGCCACTCGGGCCATCCATCTTGAGGTCGTTAACGACATGACCGCTCATAGTTTTTTAGCTGCCTTCAAGCGGTTTGTGGCCAGACGTGGTAGAGTGCTTGATTTGTGGAGTGACAACGGCACAACGTTTGTCGGCAGTGCGAAGGAATTAAAGAATTTGTTTAATGCCGAAAAATCGACAATTGCTCCAGAGATAGCGGATTTCCTTGGCACCAACGGGACCAATTGGCATTTTATACCCCCCCACGCTCCAAATTTTGGAGGGTTATGGGAAGCAGGTATTAAATCCACCAAACATCACTTAAAGAGAGTGATAGGCAAGAGTACGCTAACATTTGAAGAAATGATAACTGTGCTGAGTCAAATTGAGGCATGCCTAAACTCCAGGCCCATATCACAACTCCCTAATAATCCGGAGGAACGGTATCCATTGACACCAGGGCATTTTCTTGTGGGTGAACCGCTGGTGACTGTTCCTGACTTCAACTACGAAAACACAAATATTAGTAGTCTTAAACGGTGGCATCTCACTCAGAGGATGGTGCAAGATTTTTGGCGCAGATGGTCTCTGGAATATCTTACTCAAATGCAACATAGATATAAGTGGACTGACTGTATCCTTGAACCTAATGTTGGGGATGTCGTTCTTGTAAAGGAGGATGGTCTTCCACCTGCTAGATGGCTATATGGACTAGTCATTAAAAAGCACCCAGGTTTGGACAAAGTTACTCGTGTGGTTTCGATTAAATGCAATAATAATGAAATTAAAAGACCTGTGTCAAAAATAATTATTTTACCTGTAACCACATAAATATCAATGAAGTATTTTTTCTATAGTCAATGTTTGCCATGTTTGTGTTCCCCACTTTATTGAGTTATTTACCTTTGTTTTTTTTTATTCTTATGTTATATTGTTTTGTTGCATACTAGTATGTACCTATGTTTAATTACAAGTTGATTTACATTGTTTTTTTTTTTTTTTTTTTTTTTGTTTATGGTCAAATTGTTTACTCTTTTGTCATGTTTACATCTTATGGTGACTTTGTAGAAATAACTGATATCTGTATGTTTACTAGTTTAATGGACATGGCTGTCCATGGTGGGCAGGATGTCTAATACATGTTGGTTTAATTACACATTTTGAGTAAGTTAGTTCTACAACTTGTCGATAGATGGCGTTGATCTTGTTTTCTGAATCGCGCTATTAAGATATACGAACGGGTGTTCTTAAGGTTAGAAAAATTAATAAAATGTGTCTCTGTTCTGAGTGTGGTGATTTATTTCGTGATACTTTTGGGAAGTGTACACTTTATCTTGAAAGCAACTTCTGGAAAAGCCTTTTTAAAATGGTTATGATCGTGATTTTGCGAATAAAAAATAATTTATATCGATAAATGCATATGTTTTTTTTTTGTTAGAACTTAATTATGGTGGTGTTGTTACCAAAAAAATTGTAAACGATACCATAGTGGTATGAGCCAGTGGTGTCGTTTACAATACAACGGAATGCACCGACTAAGATAAAATTTCTTAACAGGTGTGCAACGTAAATACATAATAAATGTGTCCATGTGCGGTGGTATTTGCTTACCATCAGGTGACCCGTGTGCTCGTTTGCTCCCTACGCAGTTAAAGAAACTCTTTAACATAGACTCTAGAATGTTGTATCTTACGAGAGTAATTGTTGAAGGCACAACAACTCGCCCGCACCAAGAGTTTCCGCGACCGCTTCGAGCACTGGTCAGAGTCGGAGCAAGCGCGCTCAGAGCCCCGCCCCCCTCCATCTCTCCCCACGGACAGGACGCAGGAACCGGACGACGACGGAGAGTCACAGCTAGAGACTGCCAGAAGGTATTTCTTTATTACATTGCTAGTTAAAAATACAGTAAAAATTTTAAAACTTCTTTGTAAGCACTTAGCCTAGTTCAAAATCTTATGCAATTTTATAATTCTCTTAAATGTTTGTATGATCTGCAAATACTTGTTTCGGAGTTTGGTTGTTTTCAAAATTTAATATCAGTGAATCTAGCTTTCATAGTACAAAAGCTCTGCTTGGTTTGAAACTAGATGGCGTTGTGTGTCAAAAGTCCGAAAATATTATTATTAATTAGCTGACCTCTTAATTCTGAACCTTTTTAAATGTGTTCTCTAAATATTTACTAATTATTATTCTATATTAATGTTCCAGCTTACGTGAAAAGTTCGAAAGCATGAACGTTCAAACATCTGCCGTGACCAAAAGCTTCGCGCCCAAAGTTAATAGATTTGTGGTAAGTTCAACCATAGACCATTTATAAACAAAAAAACCTTAACCGTCAACGAGTCACGATAATTATTAAATTCCCATTTTATTTGGCTTTAAATAAAAGAGAACAAATAATACGGTTTTGTGAAATTTATGTTTAAATTTGGTATGGTAAAATACGGCGTTATAAAAAATAATATGATAATATTACTAAAATGGTATCACGCAGCATGCCTATTTATCTAACCTTACTAAATTATAATTGAAGATAGGAAATTACCAGTTTGCATGTTGTGTACAAACAAATCAACGATTTACATAAGATACCAATAACTATTTGAAATGTTGCCACACCAAATTATCTTTCAAGAAACATTTTTTTTACAATATCTGTTGAAACCTCACAGAAGTGCAAAAAATATTTGTTGATGTGCGTATATGAATTGTTATTTTGTCCACAGTGACCGTCACCGGCGTCCACGATAAACCAACCAAAGCAATATTAATCTCTTAAAGTTGTATAGTATTTTATCTAATAACTATTTGCCAATTATATATTATAGTTGTAAGCGACGGTTGTAACCTTTATAAGAATTTGGAAAATAATCATTAGACATAGGTAAGAATGTATTTATTTAGCTACGGTGACGAACTGTCGTAGAAACATTTTATATGAACAAAAAGTGCCTTAGTAAGTGCAATTTTTGATTTTTTTACGAATACTTAAAGAATATTTTAAATGTTTTTATTCGAAGTTAAGAAATATAGTTAGTTGAAATTTTATAAAATTTATCAAATAATAGTCATTTGTCATCTTTCAATGTTAATTTAATTTAAATGAATATGAAATAATATGTTAATTTTAATTTAGTAATTGGCTTTGAACCGAAAAAATATTCAGGATACTCGGTAAGCTATATAGTCATATCTTACGCGAGTTTTCTTTGTACAGGACATTCGCAAATATTTTCAATTTGTCTTTCTTCGTGAAAAAAAGAATCTAATTGCCAGTGGAAAAAAAACTACTTTTTCAATTGGTTACTTTATTTTTTGGTCTTGCCACATTATAGACGTAATTTGACTCTGTGCCATCTTGAATTTCTAATTATCTCGTGTAGTTCAATAATTTAACTATTGTTTATACAGAATATCTCATATTTATCATTAATATACATTTTGATATGTATTAGGTAATTTTACTATGTGACTGAATATTAGATTCTCTGTATTTATTTGTTTGTACTTAAAACGGTTTGCCGATTTTTATATTATTCGAGTAAGAAGATGAATAAATAACAAAATTGTATTTTTGTTTTATTTTTTAAACCCTCCTGTCTACGTTACACGTTGCTGTAGGTTGTCTGATCTAAATACAGGTAAAGGATTTTATGTTACAAGTTGTATTTAATACTCACTTGAATAAGTTAACTTTTCAAACTCACTAGCTAGCTGATGTTAATATAAATAGACACTTGCCTATGGAAAGACAGAAAAACGTTTATTTTGGCAATAACACAACACTTTTGATAATTGTGCAACTTGAGTTAGTTTGATGATACTTGCATGCTATTGCTAAGATTATTCGTGTCTTGTACTGATAATGGTTCTTCCTTCATTTAATTCAATCATAATTAGGGGGCCATCCATAAACTACGTCACACAATAAAGGGGAGAAGAAGTCACGAAGTATGACATTTTATGATAAGGGGTGAGATAGAAATTAATTAGTATGAACTTTGAATTTTATAGATATGTGATTAACATTTAAAAACCAATATCTCTAAATATTTAAATTTGCAAAATCAGCGATATTAAAAATAACTCATCTGCGTCATTGCTGTCTCAGAACCTCAGAAGAATAGTATTTAGAATAGAAAGGTAAATAAATAAAACAAAAAAATCTATTTATAATCTAGTTATTATTTTCAAAAAAATATAGGGAACGTGAAACAATAAATTAATCACCTAAACATAAATATATGTTAATATTTATCAATCACATTAGCGTCTGAAGTCCAGACATGAGACCCGAGTCTTGCCAACGCCAGTCAAATATGCCAAACGGCTAACATATTAAATTAAAACCATCTTACAAATTGAAAAAAAGCTGTTTCATCTTTAGGGGCGGTTTCTTCCTATGTTTCAACGACTTACATGCGTATTGGATGTGAAAACTGGTACTTAATCGACTTTACCACGGACTCTGGACTTTAGCGACGTTTTGATCAAATTGCAATGTCACTCGTTTCATTGGATGATCACTATAATTCTGAACTTTAAATAAAAAAATTACCGAGGCTCGATTATAACATCGATTAAGTTCTAATTTTAACATCTAACAGATATAATGGGCAATTTTCATGTTTGTTTGTGAAGCTATCTTCGAGTTACAAACGAAAGATGGATTTAATTTAATTTCCAAACATAAATGTTAGCCGGATTTCTTTAAATAACCCTGAAATTAACGACAAATACCTAGTACTTATTCGAAATTGACACCGACTACTTCTATAGACATCAATAAGGCAAAGAATTGTCTAAATATTTGGCTTTGACTTGCAGTAGACAAACTTGACTCAAAATAACATTTTCTCTCTCACATTATGATCGTAAGTATTCGTTTCATACACAAATACTCTTAAGATATGAAGTAAAAAACTATTAGGGACCAACTGGTTACTCAAAGTCGTTTAATTTTATAGTACAGTGCTGCCAATTTATAAATCAAAATATTGGCAACACTAGTAATGTCTTTTGTCATTGGTGTGGACTTGAGATTTGATACCATTATAATTTCATGTTTATGATTTACTTATGGACAACACAATTTAAAAATAACTATTGCGAATTTATTTTATTTTTAACTGATTTTCGACCAATTTGTCTGTTTTCCAAAAGTAAATCATAAACAAATTAGTCCATAACACTTAATCTACGGTATAAAATATACAAATGTACATTCAATCGAAAAGCAAGCTGAACAAACTTAAAATTCACAAAATTATCTAAGTTAAATTAAAAAAAAAAAAACAATAAAACTATAAGACAAAAATTGTTGTGCATCAAAATATTATTAAGAAAACCGTGATCTGTTTCCATATTAATTTTATTTACAACATATGTTTAGACAAAGAGCTGCAATTAGTATTGGGAACAGATATAAAAATATATTTCCACTTCAGTATACTATACGAGCCTCCAGGTACAAGATACTGACATGACACTCTTGACCAGTTCAGGACCAGGCACTAAATTCTTCGGTTTCTCATGTTGTATCCTGGATCTGAGATAAGATATATAACCCTATCTCTCTTCCCAACACAACCTCTATAAAAGAATCTTTTAAAATTTTAAACGCACAAATCACAGTTCTTAATTAAATAAAATCGACTTTATTGACGTCAACGCCATCTATATTTTTTTTTTTATAGTTTGGGTAAGGTCGCTGTTCTCAAAATTCTCAAAAAGAATTTTATTTGTAGGGTCACTCGTGGCCTTCTGTAGGGAATAGCCGTGGTTGTCTAGAGTATCTAAATTCTCTATAAACATTAATAATACTGCATTTATCTAAGTAACAGACATACGGGGCTTTACGGGCATGTAGTTTCTACTTTATTGCTTTAATTTGCGAACAAGGCGAACATTCGCTTATGTAACAAATTATGCATAATCGATATTAAATTAAATATTTAATAACTTAACGTTTTGTACGAAAAAGTAGGTTTCTAGATAATAAATAATCATTCGAATGTTATTCACTGACTTGATTAGGTCATTTGTGTATGAGGTAGCCAATAAGGTTTGCCATATAATACTTCAACATTATTTTGCCGTGATTGTCTGGTGTAGTATGTACGACCCAAGGCTAACTTAGAACAAAAAAGATTTGAATTACTATTCGAATAAAATATGTTATTTATGTTACCGATTTTTAGATTAAATGAAAATCGTAAAAAATCTCTGGGCCAATAAATGAGTGATTTATGTAACAAACGTTTAATAGCGATAGATATGACTTTTCGTATAGGGTATACTTTTTATATAGGGTTCGTATTTCAGATAAGGCGATGGCACCTCGAGGCAGATGTATGGTACTCTAGTTGGTTGCCAGTAGAAATAATAGTTGTACGAATTCAACGAATCAATTTATGTTACAAATAAAAAAGAAACAAAAACTGGGACGAATATATGTATATGTATGTAATATCTCTGCCAGCCAGTCAATTTGTCTTTAGCTGTTGTGCAGTGCAGCATTGGCTGCGAGTTGTCAATCACTGTACTTGTTCGGCTAAGTGTTTGGGTAGATTCTTATGTTCAAAATAAATCACTAATTTTGTCGAGAGTATTTGTAGTTTCAAATTAGACCAAATGCATATAGTGGCAGATTTTGCAAGTTTTAAATGGGCCATAACTTATTCGGAAACAGACAATGCAATGACGGTAGGTGAAGATTAGCTTTTATATTTATTTATTGAAGCAATAGTTAATCGCAATTTAACTGAAAACTCCAGACACTGTGTGAAAGACAGTAAATTATCAATTACGTGGAAATTGTTCCTGCATTTTTTGATTAAGGTTTTCAAATTCATTACATTAACATCAAGTCAATATTAGATATTTGTGATTTGACTCCACTCCGGATTTTTTTTATACAAAACCTTTTCCCTCCAAAACCTTTCCGTTTTAATAGAAATATATTAATTTGACGTGAGTCAACCGTATACAACAGTAGTCCAATCTTTATTACCACACTGCACATCCTGCTAAAGACACATCTGACAATATTTTTTCAGAATGTAATGTATATATATATTATTCTTCTAGAGCATTTTTAGAAATGTGTGAATAAATTTAATACTTACTTACATTTATTTTACTTCTTTTTAATTAATATTCTTTTTCTTACGTCTTCGTTTAAAACTTTTTCAAATAAAATTTGCGACGCAGTTTTAGATATATCTTCAGCTTGGTAACAAACTTATGTAAATAAAAGTTAATAATAGAAAATAAATTAACCACTGGGCTTTTTAAATCTATACTAATGTAAAAAAAAGATCAAGAGTTTTTTGTATGGTTGAACGCGCTTTTCTCAGGAACTACTGGTTCTAATTGTAAAATTATCTCAGTGTTGGATAGCCCATTTGTCAAGGAAGGCTATAGGCCATAGTACGTTTTATTAAAATTAATAGGAGTCGAGTATCAATGAACAATGTTGCAGACCGGAGAAAATGTATTCCTTGTGAGAGAACGAGACGAAATTGCGCGTGTCAGCTAATGGACAGCTAATATAAATTATTCTTTTGGTTGACATTGGACGCAAATAATGTTATGAAAATATGTTACCTTTACGTCTTACTCAAAGGGCCTTACACAGTGCTATTAGGTCTCCTCTCTCAATTTGCGAACGGAATAGGAGAACTGAATAAAAATACAACAACTGTGATGGATGAACCCTTTCACAGTTAGTCCTGTTAGTATTTCCTACCGTTTAAGTCTGTGTGACAAACTGCCAAAAGGCCTTGTGTGGATATTAAAAGAAGACAAGTGAACACGAAAAAAACTTTTGTGTGGTCTATTCGCCTTAAGAAAATAGCGCCCGCCCTCTCACCAATCAAGTTCCAAGAAATTATCGTTTCGTATGAAAGCTTGGAACCTGATTGGTCAGGGCGGCTTGCTTGATAGATGTGTCACTATTTTCTTAACGCGAATGGCCTGTCTAATCTTAATTTTGTTAACTAGAGTATATCTAAAACTGCGTACCCATTCAAACATATGCTTAGCCTCTACGAGACCGCTTATACCAATTATATTTACATTGTTATCCTAAACGTGCTTGTTCATTTCATGAAGGACTCTGAATATAACCTCAAATTTTGAAACCATACCATACCGCCACACTTGCAAATTGTATTTATTTTAGTTGTTGATTTCACTATACATAATAAATATATATAAAATCTATCTATACAAATAAATAAAATTGAAGTGTCTGTTTGTAATATCAAAACAAAAGGTATTTTCATGCTCACACGGTTATTTGCACGATACCTATGCCTAAAAACCAGTTTAAATATTTTTTGACTGTCTGTTTGTTCCGGGTAATCTTTAAAACTGGACCGATTTCAATAATATTATACTATCAGGTAGCTGTCAATATAGAGTAACTAATGCTATTTAAATTTTGCACGGTCCGGGAATCGAACCCACTAAGGCAGCGCTATTCAAATTCCATGTGAATGATGTCGCGGGCACCAGCTAGTATACTAGATATGGATAGATGCCATACATTTGTTAAGTTCATTGTCGAAAGAACTCTTCTCAGTTTTAAGTTTTAATGCTTTTGGTATCTGCATTTCTTTTTTATTCTCTTTCGGAGAGTCACAGTTTATACCTAAAAAAAATTTCTGATAAGTACTTGTTTGCAGGAGACTGTGTCGCGGTAATATTTTATGTAATAGGGGGACAAAGAGCAGGCAGTTTACCTGATGGTAAGTGATTACCGCTACCCATTGACACAAGAGACAAGTTTGTTGCTGTTGATTTTTCTTTCCTGCGTTTGGGCAATTCATAACAGTATTGTAAGAATCTAATAGTGATATATCTATATCCGCGGATACGGTCATGAGTCATCACTAGTATTTATATGCTAGTGATGACTTTTAAGGTTTAAGCGGTAGCCACGCCGCTTCCTACTACGCCGAGTGTTGTGGTTTCAAACCCCACATGGGACAACACTTTGTGTGATCCACAAATTGTTGTTCTGAGTGTTCTTTGTGTCTGTTTCATGTATGTTTGTGAAGTCCCCCGCGATACAGGATATATTCCTAATGCGGGAGTTGCCTTTGAAATAAAATAAAAAAAAATTAACGAACCAGCGCATCACTAGTATGTACATACATTCGCTGCTTTTACTTTTTAAATAATTATTTTTATTATCTCTAACCTAGTTATTTAAAGGTTGTAAACACAAAAACAAACACACTCGTCATTACAATCAACATTCGCCCATATTGTATTTCACATTAAGAACTATTTTCATTTCTTCTAAAAAGTACATTCGAGGACAAATAACAGTTTCTTAGTCACTCTAAATTGTTTTGATATATTTTTTTAAATGTTTTACCTATTTACTCGTTCAACAACTGAAGCCATTCTTTTTTATGCACTGAAGGTTACTGGGGCGGTATACTATGGGGATCTTGTGTCAACCAGGTTTAATTTTCGTGCGTTTAGGCGATTCTTCCATACATATTATACAAGGTGTAGAGGCATCGTAACGAATACTGAAATAGTGTATTCAGAGTAAAAAATCATTGGAATTTTCTGCCGGAAAATTCAAATTGTTTTGTTAAAAATGATGAAAAATATATCATTTTTCATACGACTAAACTACCCTTCATTATGAGTAAACAGAACATGTTACCGAAATCAATTTGTTAAATATCGCACAGGGTCAAAAACTTCAATGTAATTAATCAAACAGCCGAAGCGCGCGGTTCCTCCAGTGTGCGTAGACTGTTTGCACGGAATACAAATATAGTCATTACTTTTGTGCGATAGTAACTTAACCTTTGAAAGCTGATTGCATCAAACGTTTAATATTCCGACAGAAAATTCCAATAATTTTCTACTCAGAATGATGCACTAAATTCACTACTTTCAGTATTTCGATGTCCTTTACACCATGTAGAAATCAAATATAGCTCACTTAGACACATGTTTTTGTGTCTGTAATGCTTTACTGTTTAATAAAATGTTGTCTATTTTTACTTTATTTTTGTCACCGACTTAACTAAGGAAGCAAGTGGATTCATTATATATCCAATTCCTCCAATTTAATTCTGATTAATTTCGTTGAGGGTTTCAAGACAGTTTAATTTTTCATGGGACTTGCAGAGTGTCATTACTTGGTGTGTTCCTGGGTCACTGCTGTTGATTCTGTGACGAGGATAGAGAGGAAATCATTGCTACTCACTCAATTATATAACTCTGGATAATGTAAGGATTCTAACAATACATTTAAATATGATCAGGCATTAAAAGCTATTATTGAATAAGAGAAATTACATGTGGTGACAGATTAAGAGTACAGAGTGTCACCACCCCTATTCACCCCGGGGGTGTCGTAAGAGCCGACTAAGGGAAAGAACTACGCAGAACAACAGCACTGTAGAGAGAAGGCAAACTTGACACAAACCCTATATCAACCCGTCTGGCCAGCGTGGTATAGTAGGCCAAAACTACCTTTCTAAGGAGAGGCTTATGCCCAACAGTGGACTATTAAAGGCTGTTGATGTGATGATGACATATAAATACATACATAAACCCTTAAAACATTAAAGTCCTTTTTTGTACAGTCTTGTAAATAAACACCATTTCTGTTCTGTCTATGACAAGTGATAATGTAGTTTTCTGTACTAAATAACCATCCCTAACTAAAATAGTGATGAGATTTATCATTTTTATGAACAGCTACTGATAACTAAATTTATATTAGTTAATTTTACTAAGTGTGGCAGTATGAAAAGTATTGTAGAAGAATTTCTCTTTTATTTAATATAAAATGTTATTGGCATGTGATATTAATTATTTTTGCAAGTTGGTATGTAAGTTTTTTTAAATATAATTTTGTTTTGGCCCCTTTTAAATATAAGGTGTGCACCAATATACTAAGTATTGTACTTGGAAAATAAATATTTAATGTTTGCAATAAATGTTAAGTGAAATAACTATAAACAACTGTAGCTATTTCTAGGCATTATATTTGATCTAAAACCTACAATAATAAATAAATTCAGTTGAAACGTTCAACGGAACCGATTCTCTCATGACCCTAGCTTAAAAAATGGGATCCAACCTGCATCAAAGCAAGATAAGATCATTTTAAACTTACGTTCAAAATCCTTCACAAAACAACACGGTCACTGCACAATGTCACTTACTATATTTCACTGATTCTAATCCGGTGGTCGGTGGACCACCATCTGTGGTATTTTACCACTCTCAACGGCCACTTTGTCCCTACTGTCAGATTTTTCTGACCTATGTTTTACCTTGTCATATTTTCGATCATCTGACGTTCTGTGTTCTTTCTTGTGGTCTCTTTGCTTCTCTGACTTGTGGTGTGAAGATTTGTGACGCGATGATGAATGACGTCTGTGGTGATCATGTCTATCGGAGCGCTCTGACCGATCGGAGCGATGCTTGTCATCTTTATGCCTGTGATTTTTGTCAGATGCCTCTATTTTGTCTGACTTTGAATCTAATTTGTCAGATTTACTCTCAAGTTTGTCAGATTTGCTTTCAATTTTATCAGATTTGTCAGATTTTTCCCTTTCGTATTTATGTTCTGATTTTTCTTTGTCAGCTTTTTCTAGTCTTAGATCTGTTTTATCATTATACTTAGATTCTGCTTTATCTGACTTTGACTCATTTTTGTCTGATTTTTCTGACAATTGGTCCGTTTTTTCTGTCTTCGAATCTAGTCTATCGAACTTCGTATGCAATTTTTCAGGCGTATACTCACTTTTATTATAATCAATTCTATCAGATCTGGGATCCAATTTAACTGGCGTCTTCACTTCAATCTTTTCCGACTTAGAATCTTTGTCAGACCTAACATCCAATTTATTAGACTTAGAATCTAACTTGTCCGATTTATCAGATTTAGATTCGGACTTTTCAGCTTTAATATCTAACTTGTCAGACTTAATTTCCTGTTTATCAAGTTTAGACTCTGTTTTATCAGACTTTGACTCAGGTTCATCTACTTTTTCTGACTTTGAATCTGTTTTCTTTTCTTTTTCTGATTTCGTTTGCACTTCTACGCTTTTTCTATTTCGTTCTATTTTCAGTGCAGTTTTTTCTAATTTTTGATGTAATTTCGCACTCAGAGCTCTCATTTCAATCACACCCACTTTATGTTTTGACGTCTTCGACGGTTTCGATTCTGTAACCAGAACAATATGTGCTTAGAATACCTATTAATATATATAATATATATAATAATATTTAGGCAGTACGGTAAGAGTAAAAAAAAAGTTAATAAACATGATTTTGGGATTTTGTCGTATCATAATCAAAATGATTAAAAGTACCTTATTTAACAAGAAATGAAAGATTTTTATTTGATATTGAAATGCTCCTTTTGAGAAGTGCACTTTGTAGGATTGAGTCAAAGCGGGATCGAACCCACGAGTGAGCGTCGAGACGGTCTGTGGGCTAGAGAGGGGGCGAGTTACCTTGGGGCGGGTGCGGGGCGGGCGCGGGGTCGGGCGCGGGCCGCTCGTCGGCGGGCGAGGACGCGGACGAGCTGGGGTAGTACTGCTTCAGGCGCAGGTGCCACGCTGAGGAACACGCACACACTTACTTCTTTGTACTTCATACGTGCAACATGGAGTTTAACAGTGGACTGTTGTAACGACACTCTCTAATATTATTTAGTAGGTGAATATATCGCGTCACTAACATGGATTTGCTCTATGGCCGCACTACTTCATTGTTCATTGTTCCCCTGTTTGTGATACTGTAAACTTTTGACGTGACAACGTCTTATAATTCGATGGAGCCGGCTGCACGCACGAAAAAACATGACTCATGCGGCGTTACCACGCTCTGAGGCGTTCCATTTAAGGCGTGAAGTGTAAGCGAGAGCGCGGAACGAGTGACAAAGAGGCACAATCGGCCTCCGCGTTCGGCAGCGTTCGACATCTGTCTCTCTCCTCTGTACTTGAGTGAGCGATGCGTCCGCGTGGACAGCTGCTACTCGTATACAATAATACATTTTTGAAAAATGCAACCATTCCATCAGTATTTTCTTATGACGTTGTCACGTTCAACTATCGTCAGTAAACCGACTTTACAGACAACCGATTTTTTTATTTTAAAAACAACTCTCGCATTAAGAATATATCCTAGGTCACGTGGGACTTTACAAAAACATGAAACCGACAAAAAGAATACCTAGACTCAGAACAACAATTTATGGAGTAATTCTTAATAATATAGCTTTATATATAGCTACCATTCCCTATATAAATATTTAAAAAAAATACTAGATTTACTTTAAACAGGCAAAATAGTTCGTCATCGTTTGAAAACAGTTTATTGGCAACAATGCGTGAATAAATAGCAACCCTGACCTACTTACGAAAAAATCGAATGATAAATCACAGTTCACTGTGATTTTGTCCCATGTCTAGCTTACAATAACCCCGGTTAGAAGCGACCTTCACATATCTTCATCATCATCATCAACAGCCTATACTAGTCCACTGCTGGACATAGGCCTCTCCTTAGAAAGGAGGTTTTGGCCTACTATACCACGCTGGCCAGACGGGTTGGTATAGGGTTTGTTTCAAGTTTTCCTTCTCTCTGCAGTGTTGTTGCCCTGCGTAGTTTTCTCCCTTAGTCGCCTCTTACGACACCCACGGGATGAAAAGGGGTGGTGGCACTCTGTATTCTTAATCCGTCACCACACGGACACATATCTTAGACCTACTAAATCTAAGGCTATCTATCCACATAATTTGACATTGAAGATATAATAATATATTCATTAACTGTATTAGGCCCATTCAAAAGATTTTAGGCCATTGCCCCTAAATAGTCTTTGTAGCTTCTGCAAAAAAAAATAATTACCATGACTTCAATATTTAAATGAAAAAATAGGAATTTACGCCATATATATATATATATATCGATATTACCTACTTTCATGAGTATCACAGAAAAAAGACAATTAAATATACTCACCAACTGAAGTGACAGCAGACACAGTTCTGAACTGATGAATGATATTCCTTGGCAAGAAGTAGATGTCATCGGAGCACAGTGGCAGTCTTGAATATCTAACACCTTCGCGACGTAACTGGTTCAACTTCGCTTCCTCCAACCTGACACAGGAACTTATTATTAAAATAAGCATTGAGACAAATACAACCCATTGTATGACTACACTAAAGGACTTGTTGCCAACAAATCTGGGAATAAGTCTCTAAGTTCTATGTGGTCAGCGCAATGTGTACATAGGGTTTTGGCTAGTTAGTTTTGTAGCCAGCCACTTGATGGCTCGGGTCACCTGATGACTACCGCCGCAAACCAAGTCACAAGTTGCCGACCTTTGAGTTCCCCCTTCAGAATCAAGGGTCTACTAGTTTTGGTCTCCGGTAACCTTACTCACTCGGTTAAAAGCACCGCTCCCGGACCAATCAGGTTCCAACCTGAAGTACGAAACGATTATTTCTCGGAACCTGATTAGTCAGAGGGCAAGGCTTGATTTATCTTCTTCAACAGTCTTTAATAGTCCACTGCTAGACATTGAAAGGAGGTTTTGGCCTACTATACCACGCTAGAAAGACGAGTTGGTATAGGGTTTGTGTCAAGTTTTCCTTCTCTCTGCAGTGTTGTTGTTCTGCGTAGTTTTCTCCCTTAGTCGGCTCTTACGACACCCACGGGATGAATAGGGGTGGTGACACTCTGTATTCTTAATCCGTCACCACAAGGACACTGTGATTTATCTGAACTAGATGAGTTAGTACAAATAACTAACCAGGTGACACACTGCGAGATGGGCGGCTCGTACAAGTCAAGGCCCAGAAGCTGCACGAGCTTGTTGAAGTCCCCGGCGTGGAAGGCCACCACGTCCTTGGTGATGCGCCCGCGGTCCGACTCGTCGCCGCAGTGGATCGCTTTTAGGACACCTGACGAATACACAAGGAATATACATACTTGATATATGTTTGAAGGTTTAACTTGTTGAAGAATATAGTTTATTAGCTAAATATAAAAACAGTTAAAGTAAAATTATTTACGTATATCTTATTTAAGATAATACATATATGTATTTTATATACACATAATAGAGAGTAAGAATTTACAATAAACTTGATATGACATGTTTCTTCTTCTTCCGCCTTTTTCCCGAAAGCTATATTTTTACACGCTTTATATTAGCTTTACTTGTATGTTTGTTTGTATGTTTGTAACCGACTCCTTTGGGCGTGATTTTGACTGACTTTAAACGGTCAGAATTCGTTCAAACTTTGTAGATATATCGAGGACCGATGACAATACACTAATTTAAAAAAAAAATTGTTTTAAAAAACGTGGAGTGCTTTTAACTATTGACAACAGGCACCCAACGCTTTTTTTCCAATTTATTTTCTATTTTTTAGTTTGGTTTTCTATAGAAAGCGTGATTTTTTATTTTTTAAAACTATATTTTTTTTATATATTTTAATACACCTCACACACGTCTGATCCCAAACTAGGCAGAGCCTGTTGCAGTCACTGACAAACATATATTTCTAAATACATACATATCTATATATATAAAAGAAAGTCGTGTTAGTTACACTATTTATAACTCAAGAACGGCTTTACCGATTTGCCTGAAAATAGGTGAGGAGGTAGCTTAGAGCCAGGAGACGGACATAAGATACTATTCCGAAAAAAAAAAAGTTTGCACCAACTTTGCTTTATTCGGAGATGCCACGTTATTATACTTGGAATGCTTCATCGAAGAATTTTCAAAGACGGAAGATTTATTCTAAGAAAAAAATTAACTTACTAAATTCGAAAATCGGCTTATTTATTGCCTTTAAGGCGGAACAGAGTTCGCCGGGTCAGCTAGTTACACATAAAGTACACCCAGACAGAACCAATGACCGTGCTCATCACACAATTATTTGCCTTGGTGGGAATCAAACCCAGAACCTCTAGCAGTCAGGGTCACTAACTAAGACCAACAGGCCAGTCAGAGTCAGTTAAGTTTGGGGTCGGCTTCAAGTCTACTATGATATGGTCGAATTTTTACGCGGAGCGACTGCTATCAGACATTCACAACCCAAGTACTAGGTGATATCTAAGTTCTGTAGAAAAACTTTTTAGAGTTTCAACTATCCGTAATGATCGCCAAGGATGTTTTTATGGCAACCGGGATCGACGGCTTAACGTGCTTTCCGAGGCACGGATATATTCAATTCAATTCATTTATTGCCCTCCATAATGTATACACAGGTCTTATAAATATTGAAAGAAACAATTATGGACACTGTCAGGCACAGCAAAATTAAGAGAAAAGCAAACATTATATCAGTCATTAAGCATATTGAAATGTATTTTAGTATGTATATAATATTAATTAAATTTTAAAAATATCACATTATTATTTAATAATAATTTGTTTTTTAGTTTTATTTGTTTTTATTAGTTTTTTATATATTATTAATATAAACATAACTTATAATTGGAGAACAAGTTTAACAATTTAGTAAAACTTGTTCTCCAATTATAAGTTATGTTAATTATTCATTATATATATGACATGTTTTTTTTTAAGAAGATTAAACTACACAACACAAGTATAATGTATAAAACTAAGATAAGTTGTAAGCAATTTCAGTAAATGTATTTTTAAATCTGTGCTCTTATCACAAAATCCAGCTTTCAATTTCTGTAGTCGTTTCCCCGGATTTATGGTAATCGTGAACATGAAAAATAAAGACTGCTTAATTTGAGACTAAATGGCGTTGGGTGTGTGGAAGAAATAATGAAATGTGGTCTCGTACCGACGGCGGCGGTGGTGATGCGGTCGAGCCCGTGGCCCACGTGGTCTGCGTGCGCGCGCGTGCGGTCCTCGAACAGGAACTCGCGCGCCTCGCTCCAGCGCGGCAGGTACTGCAGGTTGCGCAGCTCGTTGATACCCGTCCTGGGGACACACCACTCCTTAATAATTCAACAATTAAACGGAGAATCTAAGCTCAGGCACCAGGCTCTAGGAAGAGGGGCAGACCGGTTGCCCGGTGGACAGATGACATAACAAAAGTGGCTGGCGATCATTGAATAGACACAACAACCGACATAGACACTTGGAAATCTCTAGAGGAGGTCTTCACCTTCGATTAAGAGGGTTTCTTACTACTTAGTGCACACGTTATTGTATAAAATTAGATAAAATAGCAGTGGTAGTAGTACAATTGAAGACGTTACACCTTCAAATAGTCTTGAGAGTATTTTCTTTAAGATCTCAAATCCAAAAATGCGACATATCACCTTCATCCACTTACCTCTTCAATTGTAACTGTAATGTTTTGTATGAAATAAAAGGCTTTTTTAATTTTATTTATTTATTATGGGCGGGCAATATTTAAATCCGACGGGTAACAAAATATACTAACTAATTTGGTGTTTATTAAATACTAAACTACATAAAAAAATTAGGGAGATACTATACGAAGCTACCTAAACTAAACATAAGTTGAATACCAAATTTTAGAACACAGATAAACACACTTAGAACACGTGTCAAATGTATTTTAATAAATTGATGAATTATCGCGTTACACAAGTCGTTAAAACAATATATAAGTGTGTTTTCAATTAATCACTAACCAAATTAGTGCTGTATTACTCCTTCTCACTAAATAATTTAAAAAAACCACTTGTTTACCCAATTTCCTCACAATGTTTTATAAACGGATGGTTATAGATTCCATTGATTGATTTAATAATTTTACTTCTTACAAAACAAAATTATGTGTATTAAATGCAGTTTTTAGATAAGATTTTTTTTTATATGTTATAAGTTAATAGAAACTTTCAGAACTTTTAATGTATTTCGAATACATACCTTCTTTTCTTGATAGGACTCTTGCCAAGTTCTGCGGTAGGCACCAATTGTTCCCCCGGTCTGATCCACAGAATTGGACCGTCGTTGGACTCCTGAGGTTCCATCTCTACGGCGGACATGGGTCCCCACGGCATTGTCTGCAGATGATTAATATAACGTTTATTTTTAATTTACGTGTGATGATGTGAAACGAATTTCTAATCATTATGTGCTGTGCTTGGTTTGAAACTAGATGGCGTTGTGTAAAATGTCCGAAAATGTTATAATTATACGATTGTGTGGTTGTAGGGAGAGCCATGCTTCGGCACAAATGGACAGACTTGACCGGAGTTATATCAGGGCCTCACAGAAAACTGATGTTGAGCACCAGAGCCCAAGCCCCCCTCCTTCCCCTGATTCGGGAGGAAGGACTTAAAGGGCGGCAACGCATTTGTGACAGGTGCAGGTGTGAAAGGCTGACGTTAGCCACTTACCATCAGACGATCCGTCTATTTGTTTTTGCCCTCCCCTATGCTATAAAAAAGTGGAAAAAGGAACACATACTGCGCCGGGCTTTTTTAAAATAAAATTTAGAATAGTGAGGATTGGTGAATATGAGGATAGGTTAGTGGTAGTAGACTCACCATGTTGAGGAACGGGCACTGGGCGAGCATGTCTAACATGTCGGGGAAGTATCCGCCCACCTCCTCGTGCACGGTGCCCACCAGCGAGATCTGGTGCAGCGGCCCGCTGCGGAACGTGCCCGCCGCGTACGACTGTTGTACCTGATCACACACAGAATTTAATATTTCTTTAGTCAATTTAGACAACTTTTATTTGATATCTCATTATCCGGAACTAGAAATTGAGAATGTGAATATAAGTACCATACAAAGTAATTAAACAAGCCATGTGTGTGTTTGCCAAGTGAGATGTATCTTGTCTTAGCGTTGTTTTAATAGCAATAATTGGGAATACTACTACACTACGCGATCCGGTCGTCTTTCGTCGATTCACAAACAATCCGAGATTATCCGACGTTAATGGTCACTGTACTAACTAACTCAAATGATCCAAAAACAGTTGATAGTATCTGACGCAGCAGTCAAAAATTTTGATTGCCCAATGCTGGTTAAAATGTTATTGACCGGTTAAGAGTTATGACTGTAATATTTACAACTTCCCAACATCAGCCGTTGGCCGCAACCAACGAGGCATGATCATCTCGCATGGATGTAGAATCCTCCCTTGCTGGATGTAGTCCTCACTGACTAAGATCCCTAAGGCTTACGCCCACTGACAATCTGAGCGATTTGTCCCTGTGTCAGGACGCGTGGCTCACCTGCTGGTAGTAGCGGCTGACGGTGGTGGTCTCGATGTCGGAGGCGCGCGCCAGCACGCCGGCCTTGACGGTGAGGTTGGGGTGCGCGTCGGCGAGGTACTGCAGCAGGCACGGGAACCGCCCCGCCGCGCCACGCACCACGCCGCACACGAAGTGCGCCCAGCCCTCGGAGTCCTCCGAGAACACCAGCTGCAACCCACCGACACCTCTTATAATCTTTTAACTCCCGCACTAGGAATATATCTTTTATCGTGAAGGACTTTACACATTAAGGGAACAACATTTTTTGACGCAAACACTTAGTGTTCCATGTGGGGATCGAGTGACCGAAAATCTATATATAAAAGAAATGCATAAGCCTACAAATTTTTAACAATATCTGATATATTTAAAAAATAATATGAAAATTACAAAAACAACAGGCTTCAACTATTTGTTAGCCTGACATGATAATGGAAAATCAAATAAACTAAATAGACATGGAAATTATTGCTACTTTTAAACCATATTCATTTGTTTAAATGATTAGTTTTGGTCACTATGTTCCACCTGTTGGTCATAGACGAAAATTGCCGTCAGTATCAATCAAACCGACTGTTCGACACGCCGCTAGGTGTGGCGATCTGCGATCTGCGGTCGACCGGTGGGTGTACTGAATGAGAACACTAAAGTAGGGTTTATGAAATAAAACCACTGCGCTGTATTGCGATCTTGGTCGACCTTTTTATTTATAAAAATATTATATTTTAAGTACAAGACGGTAACGAACCCATACCGCGATTTAGAAAGCCAGTACAACGCCATCTATTGAGGATCTACAAAGATTTTAACTAAGAACAATCAATTGATCCATTTGCTTTTGCGTTCATCGTAAACACCGACCTTTTTTTTAGATTTAGTGCTTTCGCCTGTCTGGCGCTAGCGTAATAATAATAATAAATCTCAGTGATGTTGTAGATGAGTCACAGGTATGATGAAATGATTTTAAAATCGTATGATAGATCAAATGTGATTGTGATTTTATCCGATGCCTAAAATTAAATAATTTAACATTTATGAAATTAAGTATGAAATGTGTCAATGAAAACTATATTCGTTAGTGTTTTGTAGACGCCTATCACATTTAGATTTTCAAATGAAATGTTAAAAGTAACTTGAGATAACTTTACGGTGAAATTTCGACCGTTTTAAGTTTTGTTTTATTACTTAATTTTTTTTAGTCGTTTTTACATAATATTTAAGCTTTGAGCACATTTTATTTATTAGCTTTTTGCAGCAAAGAAAGAAAAACTGGCATATCTTACAGAATTGTTACATATTTACTACATAACATGTATAAATTACATCTGTACCAATATCCATATATAAACATTTTCGGGTTTCAGAAACTTTTATTCTCATTAAGAATAACATTCACTTACATGAGAATATAATTATACAATTAACAATATATTATATATAAACATTAAGTATTACAAGTAGAAATATGGTGCCGTGCGCCTTATTTATTTAAGTAGGGTAACAAAAAATGTTCTTCCGTACTAATGATGATTTGCCAAAAACTTATTAGGACGTCATCACTTATTGTTTTATGCATTTTTTTTACAGTTTTGACGTTCAATAAAGATAAGGTACAAATTGCTTTATTCTTTCTTAACCTTTTTTTTTCCTGTGCGGAAATCCTTTCGGATACCACCCACCGGTGCTTGTGTCGGACTCGAACCGACCACAAACCGCACGCCGTCTCGGGTACCAGTTGCCGGGGAACCAGGTGTACCCTAGGAAGGAACCCCTGATACCCCGACGTACCTCGGGCCATCTACGGCGCATAGGTAAATGACCCCCTCCTATGTGGGAACCCCTACGTCACCTTTGTGCTGCCGAAAGGGCGCGCGCGCTTCGAAGCGCGTCTCGCCACCACCCCGCTTCTGCTAGGGTGACAGGTGGCCTGCGCTAATGGAGGACGGAGGTCATTCTGCGACCTCCGGCGCCTGAGTCGGCGGTACCTGGCCCGTTGCCGGGCTTGGCGCTCCGGGAGAGTTCTAAGCCTTTCCCAGTATTCTTTCTTAACCTGATCTTAGAAAGCCTACGAATGATTCTGAACAGATTAGATTAGACGCTATTAAGATGTTTATTTTTGCATCCTTTTAAGTCATCATTATCATCATCATCAACAGCTTTTAATAGTAAACTGCTGGACATATGCCTCTCCTTAGAACGGAGTTTTTGGCCTACTATACCACACTGACCAGACGGGTTAGTATAGGGTTCATTTTAAATTTCCCAGGGGGTCGGGCGCATTGAGGCGTTGGGATTACGGGTGGCCCTGGATAAGACGGAGGCCCTATTATTTCATGGGCCCCGTCGTGGTCCACCCGGCGCCTCAATCGAGGTCGGCTCGGTCCTCGTACCGGTCCGGGCCCAGATGAGGTACCTGGGTCTGGTCCTAGACGGTAGGTGGCTCTTCGACGAGCACTTCCGACAGCTTGGTCCGAAGCTGGTGGACACTGCCTCCGCCCTAGGGCGACTTTTGCCCAATTTGGGCGGGGCCAGTGTTCCCACGAGGCGGCTGTACGCGGGGGTTGTCCGGTCCATGGCGCTTTATGGTGCACCGGTGTGGGTGGCGGCTCTGACCGCCCCGAATAGGGCGCGCCTCTGGGGCCCCCAGAGGATATTGGCGGTCAGAGCCATACGCGGATACCGCACGGTGTCCACAGAGGCGGCTTGCGCCTTGGCCGGAACACCCCCGTGGGATTTGGAGGCGGAGGTGCTCGCCGAAGTTTATCGGCGAGTGGCTGACTTCCGGGCGGAGAGCGGATTTCGCCCTCCGCCCGAAGATGTGCGCGAGTGGCGCGAAGCCGCTCGCCGAGCCACCATGGTCAGATGGTCGTTCCGGCTGGAGAGTCCACGCGCTGGCTTCGCCGCCGTGGAGGCTCTCCAGCCGGTCATATCCGAGTGGGCAGGGCGGCAGCACGGGGCCCTTTCCTTCCGGCTGACGCAGGTGCTTTCCGGGCACGGTTGCTTCGGAAAGTACCTGCACTCGGTCGCTAGGAGGGAACTGAGTCCCGCCTGCCACCACTGCGACTGCGGTGAGGATTCGGCCCAGCACACGCTGGCGGTTTGCCCCGCATGGGCGACGCAGCGCCGGGCCCTCACTGCAGTCATCGGAGCAGATCTCTCGCTACCGGCCGTAATTCGCTCCATGGCCGGTAGCGACAGTTGTTTTACCGCGGTCGCAACCTTCTGCGAGGAGGTAATCTCGCAGAAGGAGGCGGCGGAGAAGGCCCGGGAGGACGACCTCCACTCGGACCTGATCCGCCGCCGGCGAACCGGGCGGCGGAGGCGCGCTTACCTGCGCCTCATGCCGCCCTGAGTGTGGCCGCGGGTGGACGGGGTGGGTTTCCCCTCCACCCGCATTAGTTGGCCAGCCGCGAGGGGGCGGCGTCCGCGTATGCCGGACGTCGCCTAAAGAGAGGATAAGTGGAGACGGAGCCCGCACCAGGAGCGGGCCAGCGCTGGGAGGGGTCCAGAAGGCGATAACTACCTGGACCCCTCCTAAACTGGAAGCGCAAAGAGGGCACACCGTGTGGTTTTAGTCGGTTCGAGTCCGACACACCACCCCGCCGCAAACCCCGGTGGGGTGACGGTCCGAGGGGATTTCCACACGTTAAAAAAAAAAAAAAACGGGGTTTATTTTAAATTGTGCATGTGACCTTGTTACCTTAAGAAACTCCTTTGCGAGTGATTCCTGCTGTTGGGCGTTGAGCATGTCCACGTCCCGCTGGTGCAAGTACACGACGCTCGCTCCTCCATTAGGATGGGTTTCCACACGCATCAGTCTGTGGACAAATACTTTTATTAGTGCTATGTCAGACGACAAATAGTTCTTACTCCAGCTGCTCCTACTCTATTTCAATACTTTCTGTGTATTTTTATATAAAATAAACACCTGCCTACTTGTTAAATTACTATGTAAGCAAGATTGTTTATTTAGATCGGAAAATCGAGAATTTATTTAAAGATAAGGCAAATGTAAAAGAAGGCCTTGGTAAAAAAGGGATGTTGCTTATAATGGGGGGTAACGCATTCCTGTAACTAAACCTTGCTACTGTCTAACAATTACATATTCGCCGATGAGCTGTCAAATTTCGAAAAAGTTGTTAAAAGTTGCTATGAGGTTGGTTATGCTTAGCAAATGATTCAAGTGGTCTCTTAGGTAGTTAAAATTATGTAATCGTAATAAGCTTGTTAATTGTTTGTTTAATTTTTATTTCATATAGTATTAAACTAGCATTGGTGTTTTTTCTATTTTTAGTTTCATATATTGTTACTCTATAATGCATGTAGGACGCCTTAAAATATTGTGCATTAACCTCAATTTAATTTAACTAAATAATGTAAGAACTACTGGCTGTGCAATAAATAAATAAATTACTAAGCCGTCTTAATATCTAGAACTAATTGATGTGTAAAAGAATTTGTAAAGTAATTCTTTAATAAAATTGATTAATAATGCCTGATAATTCATTCGTTCGAAAAAATAAAAAAACTACTGCATGGATGGCGAAGTGGTTTAAGCGGTAACCTCAACGCTTTCTACTACGCGAAGTGTGGTACAGTCCCCACATGGGACAATACTTTGTGTGATCCACAAATTGTTGTTCTGACTCGTGGGTGTTCTTTGTTACTGTTTTATGTATGTTTGTAAAGTCACACGTGACGCAGGATATATTCCTAGTGCGGAGTTATCTCTTTTTTTAATAAAAAATATTTGGAAAACTAAAAAAGATTGTAGAAGTTGACCTGTGAAACTTGAGGCCTTTAACAGTAGGGTTGACAGCCAGCGGTCCCCAGCTGTCCTGCGGTAGGGCGGGGCCGGCGCGGTCCCGGCGGCACTGCACGCCGATGGAGCAGCGCTTGATGCGGGCGCGCCGCCGACAGTGGTGGCAGGAGGACGACGATGAGTGGCGAGAAGAGTGAGACCTGGAAAGATAACAGTAACGTTACACTTGCTAAGGTAATGTGACAGCTGATAAACATACTAATATATATAATATTTCCCTGGCTTAGCTGTTAGAATCGCTAACATTAAACCAATAGGACAATAAAAATGTCTGAAGATTTCCACTATGCAAAACTGAAAATATTTTGTTCACAAAACAGCAAGAATTCACCTTACCCATTGTTCATCATCATGATTATCAACAACCTACAATAGTCCACTGCTGGACAAAGGCCTCTCCTTAGAAAGGAGATTTTGACTTACTATAACACGTTGGCCAGACGGGGTGATATTGGGTTTGTTTTAAGTTTTCCTTCTCTTTTTAAACCGCGGTTGTCCTGCTAAGTTTACTCCGTTAGTCAGCTCTTACGACACCCACAAGACGACTGGGGGTGGTGACACTCCGTATTCTTAATTCGTCATCACACGGACAACACATTGTACACTGTATTGCCGTTATTTCTTTAGTTTATCGTAAAAGTAATTTATGTTTCAGATACGTATTATAGACGTGCTAGATATCTATAGTCTATTCGCGTTAAGAAAATAGTGACGCACCGGTCAAGGCCACGACCTAACCAACCAGGTTCCAAGCTTTTGTACGAAACGATCATTTCAGTTGAGATGGCATAACATCACAATCACCTGTGATATATCATATGATTTATAAATGATATTATCACGCCTGTGACTAATTTACAAAACTACTGCGACACTTATTATTATTATTAGTACGGTATCGCCCGACTCGTGAAAGGTCTAAAATGTAAAAAAAAAGGTCGATCTTTGATAAACAGAATTTTTGTTGATTTTAATGGCATTTATCTTTGTCTGGGACCAAATCACAATCACATGGGAAATCGCTGTGATTAAAATCAATCATTTCATTATATGAATTTGATTTAAAAGTAGCAACAATTTCCATACAATGTCTAATTTCAGACCACGGAGAAAATGTTATGTATGAGTACAGATAACTTAGTCAAAAGTAAAGATTATGATAAGATTCGAATGTTGTGAATTAGAAAGATAATACAGGTTTTAAAGCAGATAGTTTACACACTTTATAGAGATATATATAATCAATACATATATGTTTTATAGATAACGTTATACCTGAGTAAAATTTAACTGCTATGAATCATTTGAAATGTTGAAAAAGTTAAAAACAAGCTCAATTTCAGTTTAAATTCGTGTTGATGTGAAGGTTATATGGAAATTAGTTTTTTTTATAGCTTAGTGCGTGCCTGATAGTAAACAAAGTTCCCATCAGGCACGTTAAAAAGGTGTATTTGATAAAATTACTATTCCATTTCTCTTTTGCGCTCAAGACAGACACACTCTTCGCTAACACTAAAATACCTTATTTATACTATTATATTTGTCCCTTGATTAAAACTGCAAAAATCATGGAAAAATATAGAATTTAGTTATGCCACAATTGCACTTCAACGTTAACTTATTCCGAACATGAACATAAGCATTAAGCAATATCCTCAGCGGGAAATTAACAAGGATTCTCGGTTATAATAATAATGCAATATAACCTCTAGACATAAGACAAAATCCCAGTGAACTGTGATTTATCATTCGATTTCTGCGTACGTAGGTTATGATTGCTAGGTATGTAAGTTAGACGCTATTATGTAGGGAATGGTAGCTATAAATAAAGTAATTCCTAGGTTTACTGTTAAATGGGCAAAATAGTAGCATACGGCATACGGTGCTGTGTTGTCCGTGTGGTGACGGATTAGATTAAGAATACAAATTGTCACCACCCCAATTCATCCCGTGGGTGTCGTAAGAGCCGACTAAGGGAGCAAACTAAGCAGGACTACAGCACTGCAAAGCGAAGGAAAACTTGAAACAAACCCTATACCAACCCGTCTGGCCAGCGTGGTATAGTAGGCCAAAACCTCCTTTCTAAGGAGAGGCCTATGTCCAGCAGTGGACTAGTATAGGCTGTTGATGATGATGGGCAAAATAGGGTCCTTATACAGCGTCTGACAACAGCTTATTGGCAAAAACGCGTGAATAAGTAGTAACGCTAAACCACGTACGAAAAAATCGAATGATAAATCAGTCAGAGTCTGTGCTTTGGTAACCAGAGTGCTGATAAAAATACGCATATATTTCTAAATACATACAGATCATAGATAAATTACACCCAAACACAACAAATGACCGTGCTCATCAGACAATTATGTGTTCTGGGTGAGAATCGAACCCACGACCTCCGGCTTAGCAGTCACAGTCACCAACAGGCCCATATTGTGTAATCCATGTTGTTGTTATTCTTATATACAAAACCATTGTATGTACTGATTTCTCACGATATATAAAACCATAATTGGTCCCATTGTAACCGTCGAATGCAAGTGAAGGACGCTGGTGCAAAAAAAGTAACGAATTTAAACTGTCATTGTTAAAAAGGAGTCAGAGGATGAGAAAGTGCAATCTTTGAGCCATTGTGAGGAGACACGACAGTTATTTCAGCAGAATGAATCACGAACTTGACCAGCTGAGTCATCAATCATCCTTTAGTATTCAACTGCTGGACATAGGACTCTTCTTAGAAAGGAGGTTTGGCCTACTATACCACACTGGCCAGATGAGTTGGTGTAGGGTTTGTTTGGGGTGCTGGGCTAGAAAACCTCCTCGTGGTGCACCCTGGAAACGCTGGCGATGGTACTGTTTCCTCCTTGTCCTCTTGGAGGAGAGGATTATCGCCAGCGGCCAATATTCTAGCAGAAGAGGCAGCCGTTCATCGGCTCTCGGGCAAGGCCTGGTCCAGCAGGGTGGGCGTGTCTGCCGGTTGCCCTGCTGGCTCTTCGCTCTTCGGAGCATGGAGGAGGAAACCTCGGTAAAAAACCTGATGGCGGGGCCCTGTAGGGGCCACAGTTTCTCCGCTGATAGCGGTGGAGAAAGGAGGACGGGCTCGGCGTGTACTCACACTACCACCGAGCAGGCAGGGGGACGTAGTCTCCCTGTCAACCGTCGGCATATCGCAATCCCGAGAAGAGCGCTGTGGTTAAGTCTCGCGGCTCTGATCGGGGGCGAGGGTCTTGGCTTAACCGCCCGGACCGCGAGGAAGATAACCTCTCTAAAAAATTCCCCGAATCCCGTGTTCTGGTGCGTGGCCAGGGGATGCATGGCTGATGGGAAGTTCAGTCGCGAGCGCACTCCAAGCCGAGGTACCTGCGGACCCCTCGGTTGGGTTAAAAACTTACGCTTGCCCGGGTAATGGGGGATCTCTGCCCGGGTGGACCTCTAGTTCTCCCCCACTCGTGGGATTTAATATGGAAAATATGAACCAAAACACTAAACCAAAAACGATCGGAAATAATCTACAACGGAAAAAGGCTAGTCAAACGGATACGGCAACGAAAGCAAGGAAGGAGAAGAAGAACAGTGGAGTCGATGGGTCGTCCACTGAGGGTGAGGTGGCGTCGGGAACGCCCATCTCGATGGGGCTCCCAGAAGTCAGTCTGACTCTGATCTCTGGGAGCCGAAGAGCATCGGATCGGTTGCGCTCCGGATCCGCCGCTTCGTCGGATGGCGCGGAGGCCATGGAAGCGGAGCGAAGCGACAGCCGAAAACGCGGACGCTCAGGGGACGTGGAAACCGACACGTCCGGCGAAATGATGCCACCTAAGGTGGCAAGCAGCCGCCGAGGGAGGGCGCGTAAACCGGCCTCGGTCTCGGCCCCGTCAGGCTCCGCGTTCTCAAACGCGGAGTCCTACAGGAGCGTGCGAGTGGACGGCGAGGCCGTAGCGGAGGAGGAGATCGCGGATCTCCTGCTCAAGGTTCGGGAGCCGGTGGGGGGAAATGCCCCCCAGGCTCCCGTGTCCGTGCAGGAGAGGGCGAAAGCGGCGGTGGCCGTCATCGACAAGGTGGCCACCAAATCCGTGAACCTTAAGGGCTCGTTTGTGAGGGCCCTTAAGGACTCCTCCTCCGCTTTGTCGGAGGTCGTGGAGGGCCTAGCGGGCGACGTCTCTCGCCTGCAGGTGGCCAACGAGAGGCTGACGGAGCGGGTGAACGAGCTGAGTGCTCAGTTCACCCGCTTCCAGGCGAACCTCCCCGAGCGGGAAGCCCCGTCCGCGTCCCAGCCTGCCCCTACCACCAACTCAGGGGCATTTGACTCCCAACTGCGAGAAATCCTCATCGCAGTTGGGAATATGCTGGACGGACGCCTGGCTGGCCTGGAGGCGAGACTGCCCCCTGCGCCGAGTATGCGCCCCCCGCTCGCGTCGGCACAGCGGCCTAAGGCCGCCGCTCCGACCGCGCTCCCCGTTGTGGGAGGCCGCGTTTCTTACGCGGCGGCGGCGTCTGCCCCTACTCCATCGGCTCCACAAAAGCCGAGGAGGGGGGCCAAGGCACCGGCCCAGGCGCCGGCCAAGGCACCGGCTAAGGTGCCGGCCAAGGCACATCTCCAGGCGCCGGCCAAGACGGGGCCTAAAACAGCGCCGAGGAGCGGAGTGGCATTCCCTCCGCTCCCCACTCCGACACCCCTGCCGGGCCCCTCCGCACCTGCCCCCTCCAACGAGGGTTGGCAGGAGGCGAGGGGCTCCAAGAAGTCCCGAAGGCGGGCCAAAAAGGCTGCCCAAAGAGCAGCCCAAGCCCTGCCTTCGCCACCGGTGGCAACGGCCTCTGCAAAGAGGCCGCGGAAGCTGCAGCCGCCCAAAACCGCGGCGGTAGTGGTGACCGTGTCCCCGGAGGCGGCTGACGGCGGGCTGTCCTATGCGGCCGTCTTCAAGAAGGCCCGGGACAGCCTCGCCAACGAGTTTGGGACGGTGGGGGTCAGGATGCGCCTCGCCCAGACGGGAGCTCGAGTTCTCGAGTTCCCTGGGGCCGAAGGCGCAAAGACGGCGGACTCCTTCGCTGAGAAGCTGCGGGGAATATTTGCAGCCACAGATGGTGTCAGGGTCGCCAGGCCTACCAAGTGCGCGGAACTGCGCATCTCGGGCCTGGACGACTCAGT